CCCTTCCCCCCTTTTGGAGCCTCGAATTTCGGTGTCTTTTCCCGACCTTCTGCTTGTATCTTCCTTATCGCCATCCTATTCCTGACAGCTCCTGTCAGACTCGGTGGTTATTCCCGCATCCACTGTGCGCAGCATCTCCACGGCTGGGCAAATATCCAACATGAGCTACAATCCACAAGATGGACGGCCGCAGGTGCAGGCGTGCCGCTACAAAACTGGCAAGACGCTTGGAGCGGGGTCATATTCCGTCGTTAAGGAATGCGTGCATATCGATACGGGAAGATATTATGCTGCCAAAGTGATCAACAAGAGATTGATGGCAGGTAGAGAACATATGGTATTTACATTGTTGCCAATCAAATCACCCATGCTGACAATATCTCCAGGTACGCAATGAAATCGCCGTACTGAAGCGCGTCTCCATGGGGCACCAAAACATCCTCACACTAGTCGATTACTTCGAGACCCTGAATAACCTCTACCTGGTGACCGATCTTGCCCTTGGCGGTGAACTCTTCGACCGCATCTGCCGTAAAGGCTCGTACTATGAATCCGATGCCGCAGATCTCATTCGTGCCACACTCTCAGCTGTAGCCTACCTCCACGACCATGGCATCGTACATCGCGATCTCAAGCCTGAAAACCTCCTCTTCCGCACCCCAGAAGACAATGCCGACCTCCTCATCGCCGATTTTGTCTCAGCCGTATAATGGACGAAGAGCAATTCCACGTCCTAACTACAACCTGCGGCACACCAGGCTACATGGCTCCTGAAATCTTCAAGAAGACAGGCCACGGAAAACCAGTCGACATCTGGGCTATTGGCGTGATAACCTACTTCCTCCTCTGCGGCTACACACCCTTCGACCGGGACTCCAATCTGGAAGAAATGCAAGCCATCCTGGTCGCTGATTACTCCTTCACTCCCATCGAATACTGGCGCGGCGTGTCGCTACAGGCCCGCGTATTCATAAAACGCTGCTTAACCATCGACCCCACACAACGCATGACAGCCTACGAAGCGCTCAACCACCCCTTCGTAGCAGGCCTCACAACCAGCAAAGACGGCAAGGATGGAAAGGGTAGTGATCTACTACCAGTAGTAAAGAAGAACTTTAACGCGCGCCGCACCCTCCATGCAGCAATCGATACCGTGCGCGCCATCAACAAGCTCCGCGAAGGCCAGAGCGGCATGATGGACGGCGTGCAATCCTCCGACCCGGCTCGCGGCGCCAAGCCCTTCTCCAACAACGATTCTGGCGTCAGCGGCATGGGCGATGTGGACATGGGGGATTCTGAGTATGTAACGGGCTCGGGACAGTTGGGTCAGGATGCATATCAGGCGGGCGACACACGGATGAAGGGTATTGAACGGTTGTCAGGGCAGGGGCAGACGGAGGCGCAGATCGAGGCACAGACGAGGAAGATTGCAGAGACTACGAAGGGCCTGTGGAGTGCCGGACAAGCCAAGATTTCAGGCCGGTAGTCTGCATGAGCGCGACGTTTTGGAGACGAGCTAAACGCAATCGTGGTGGTGAGAAACGAAGCGGGTTATAAACCCAAGCACCTCGCGAGGTCCTGGACACTTCCCATTTGATGCCTTCACAAAGAAATCCTAAGCACGCAAGCAAGCGCGACCATCTGCCTTCCCATCTCTTTATTTTCCTATCTAGGAGCTTTACATTACTTTACTCCACTTTGTCCTTCTTACATCCAGGAAGGCGAATTCCCTGGCATGCAGGGATTTCTTTGGGATTGGTTGGGTTGGTTTAGTCAAGGCACACACACACACACACACACACAAATGAGATGATGAATACGATCATAGATGATGGATATACATAGGAATAGGAATATGAATAGGAATAGGAATAGCGAAATGAGACGATGATATGATATGATATGCCGGCAGTGCTCTCCCTTTCTTTGTTTTTAAATCATACGTACCGTATCTAGCCAGCTACCTATCTGGATTTTTCTCGGTAATCTGATATGGTATGCTACTGTATGTATGATATAACACCTGGTGATATGACTTGGTTGATGTTAGTAGTCAAGTCAAGTGGGTAGGTACATACTATAGAGCGGTATATGTATAATATACCCCGCCAAGACAAGACAAGTTCCACCAACTCGATTGAAAGATCCATTCATCTATCTATCCATTAGCACGAGTATTTCTTTCCTTTTCATTCACACATATAGATATAAGCAAGGGCAACATAGTGTGGTGTTCAAATCTCTCATTTATTCTTTCTCATTCATTACAACCTCCTTTCTCCTCCGCCTACTCGCCTCCCTCACGTTCTTCTTAATTACACCTGCCTCAATCCTCCTTTCTTTTCTTTCCGCTACATCAATGTATTCTCTCCCCCACAAAACCATCCCATCCCACCCAGTAAATGCACATCCCGTGCATACATGCCATCCGTACCCAAAAAAACACCCGAGACCATGCAGCATATTCTATCATCCCATTCAATTCAGCGAGCGTATTCATACAAGAACAAGGTTTAGTATATATATATAGTTTGCGAGCCCAGCCCTGAAAAAGTGGGCGGTTACTCTAGCGATTGTGGTATTTTGTAAAAGAGTCAAACGTAAAAGGGCCCCCCATGTGGGGGAAACGAAGGTAATAGTGGTGTTGAGGAAGAAGCGAACGTCCGCTCATAAAGCGTGATATTATCATTACTCTCTCTCTTGCTTGAAAAGGGTATCCGAGCTCTCGAGGCAGTTTCGGTGGTTGGAGATGTATATACAAGATCGGATTTGTAGGGTCGAGAGCTTCCAGATGAATGAAGAATGGGGTTGGCGAGCGTAAAAGTAGATCGCTATGCTGAACGCCGTAACATGTATATCCAGGATGAACCGTAAATCATGACTTTGGAAAGGTCTCTATTTCAACTGACGATGCTGAGGTATGATTTGAATTATCGGATAATAACTTCGGAGAGTTCGCTATCGGAGGCTTGAGAAGCGAGCGTTTCACCTTCCCAATTCGATGAGCTCTCATCCACAGGGCTGCGCGAGCCAGATGAGATGGAGGACGAGGAGCCCACAGTCCACTCGTCGCTGCTATCATTGCGGAAATCGATATCAAGAGTCGTAAGACCGTATTCGTAGCCCCCGCTGGGCGCTTCACCAAACTCAACGTAGTCGTAGTCCCAGCGGAATGCCTTGTCCATCTGCATCCTGGGCAAGAAATGCATCTTGGAAATGTAAAATGCGATGGCTGCGAGGAATGCACCAGCGACCAAATCCACGGCGTAATGATGAGACAAGTACATTGTTGCCCACCACATCCACATTGCGTAGAAGATTACCACAGGCCGGAGCTTGGGGAAGCAGTAGCTCATGAAAAGAGCCTCCAGAACTGCATTTCCAGAATGCAGAGATGGAAAGGCTCCAAACACTAGTGGCGATGCTGTGAAGTTGCTGGTGTACATGTCGAATCCAAGGAATTTGTCAACGCGTGCAAGTCCGGCAGGCGATCCAGGCATGGAGTAATTTGCTGGTGCGAGCCCATACATATTTTCGTACCATGGAGCCGAACATGGGAAGAGCAATTGGATTGTCACCCCAAGGATGTTCAAGTACCCGAATGTCCGCGCATACACTGGGACAATTCCCGGGGGTCCAAATAAGAACATCAGAGCTGCCCATACTACTGGTCCTCCAAAATGAAAAAGTCCATATGGCAACCACGCAAGCACATCCAGAACAACGTGTTGGTGTGCTGAGAGGATATTACTCAAATTTGCGCCATAGAATATGTTTTCGAGGGCGGGAAGAACCTTGACCCAGATATGAGGTCGGTATTCAGCTGGAATAAATCTATAAAATGATCAGCAGGGGTTCATGATGTCCGTGGTCCGCAGATCATTGCCAATCGCAGTACCCAGAGATATTGGACCCCTAATAGGAGACATACCTTGCATTGAAGAAGAAGACCAGCCAGGTCGCAATAGGGAGAAAGGGCAGAAAGAATTGTCTCGTTATTGGCATGAGAAGCGCAAGCATAAGCAAGGCCGCAGCTCCCGTTTTCACCAGTGGTCCTGGTGCCTGACTGATTGAGAGAGAGAATATGGCGAGTATTATGAGTATTAAGTAATGCCCGTCATAAATGGACCATCGATGATTCCGCAGCGCACGTATCGAGTCCTTGGGGTTAAAGGAGGTCTCGATAGACGCAATAGCTGATGCGGGTGATTGTGCGGAGCGGAACTTGGAGCGTAACCGTCGACGATATCTGCGAGGTATGGGATTCGGTATCGAGGCCCACGAGAAGGGTAATTTTGATTTTGTGTAGGTTGTGGGCGAACTCGCCGGGTAGAAAGAGTCGGGCATGGCCAGATGAGTTTGCGGCCGGTCGAACTTGGTGGTGAGTGGGCGGGCGTTTCACGGGAGGCGTGGATGGGCGAGGGTTTGTGAGAAGCGGATGGGGATGGATATTGGAAAGGGGTTGGTCGATGCTATGAGCTGCACATGAAGTCGATATTGAGAGCGGCGGCGAGGGTGTCGAGTAGAATAGTTGGCGGTGGTCGTGACGGAGGAGGAAGAAGAAGAAGAAGAAGAAGAAGTGATGATGCCTGCGCCGTGTGGAAGACAAGAGCGGATGTTCGGTCTTGATGAGTTTGGTGATAGGATATGCGCTTTTCACGGTTCAGGCCTAGCGTCTTGGCGCTGAGATGGTAATTTCAAACCACACCCGCTGCCGAAAACGTCTAATTTTATACCGTTATTTATGTCAAACGTTTCTAATTATACATACTTGAAGCTTCGACATAATTATGGGATTTTCTTTATATAAAATAGTTTTTATACGAAGTAGCATAGTTAAGGTCAGATCTTTTCACATCCCACCATGGTGAGCATGGCATGGAATCATAAGGTGGTCTGTGCACTCCGGAGAGCCGTCTCCGTCACGAATTACAACGTCGAGGTGGCTGAAGCATTTGCAGCCTCACTTATATCTAAACTACCTACCTTAGGCAATACGGTTCGCTGTTATTCGCAGATGGGAGCATACAACTCTCCTAGGTTACAGTATCGTTCAGATAGAAGTTATAGACGATGCACTCACTTTGCGGAGGATCTGCAAAGCTGCGACAATGTATGAACAGTCGTCGTCACATACGAACATTCTCATCCTCTGCATTTGCTTTTCTTACACGCCGCAGCTGCAGGCCGCGTTGACGACAAGATGGCTTGGTAAGGCACAGGTAGAAGTATCAGAGTACCGGTACTACGAATCCCAGTCACGACAAGGCAGATATATATAAAAAGGCAGTGTTGCTGCGCATAGTATTCTGATATCATAGATCCGTTATCAGGGCTGAGTTTCGATGGATGAGGCTCATATGTTGCCCTACACGTAAAGTGTCTTTGCTGTTTCAGAATCCGATGAGCATTATTCAGCCGTACTGTACGAAGGCACCAATAATAATACTGTACTGTTTTAACAATATTTTCCCAACTTCCAAGCACCTGCACTTATTCGTTCCCGTTACGGAGTACACCTTTGATTCATTAGGCCGGCGCCGACTTAGTCCAGTAATCTCATTCCATCTCACCAGCCACACCTGAGGACCCTTATCGATCGCATGATCGCATGCACAACTCCCGAATGCACCTTCCAACTCTAAAAATCTACTTCATAAATAAACTCCAAAAAAAAAAAAATCTCTCCTTCTTCCACTCCACTTATCCCTCCAACCACAATCTCTAAAGAACGAAGTAAGATGACCTTCTCCACATTGACAAGCTCGAAGAAGAACCAAACCCTGCACTGGATTTTCTGCCACCCCACTTCACCGCCGTCGGACAGATAAAGTTATGCATTCCGGGCTCGGCTTTTAAATCGCTTCCGAGCATCCAATTAAAAGCCCTGCCCTTGTATAATTTAAAGATTTTGACCGGGTTTTATATTAGCAGCGTTTGCGAGATTAAGAGTGTGGTTTTAGGGGCCGAGCGTTTGGTCCGAGCTGAGCTTGAGCTTGAGCTTGAGCTTGAGCTTGAGCTTGACTCGAGACTCAAGTTAAGTGCAAGCAAGGTGAGGTGATGGTGTGAAAAGTTCGCGTAGAAAAGCGCGTTTCGCGTTTAAGTTGGGATTCAGAGCGAGAACAGGTCGGGAGCGTCACGTGGGTCGTCAGGTAACGCACGCCACCCTCGAACAAGAGAAGATCATCAGAACATGTGCATGGCTCAGTCGAAATGTAACATGTCAGAAGTCCGCATTCTACGACATGCAATTGAAAATAAATATGCCTCTTGCCCTTTCTGTGCTGTGCACGCTTATTATTCCTATCTTTCGCCACTCTCCATCTCATTACTGTTACTGTAGCTGTTTCGTCTTTCATCATCAGATGTATAAGCGTTACAATACTCTAATTCTCTCTCCCTTTTCCGTACTTGGAGTAATAAATGTATCTGTCAGACATAAATCACCTCTCATCACCTCATGTCCCACGTAGCTCGGTACTTATGCAGCTATCTATCCTACCCCTCTATCTATGATTGCAGATTTGATATCAGGCTAAAGTCGAAAGCTTGATGCGGCAGTTCATTAGCACCGTTTATCTACAGCTCTCTCCCAAGGCTATGTCGCAGAGAGGCAGCCTTGTGCAGTCAATGCTGTCTGTCCAAGATTGAACATCATCATATAGTCGATTTATCCATTAATATGTACCCCACCCCGCCTTGAGCCTGGAAACGTGAGAGTCCATCGTGGACCTACGATGAGCTCAACAATAAAGGGAATAAACAGCGTCACGCACCCAGTGCACTTTATTTTGAGAAATACATACATTATGCCTCCTCCCACTATGAGTTTGTTTCGCTGTTATACGTGTACAAGATACATATTTCATCTTCATCTTGAATGAACACAAAATAGCTGCTTCCAATTTTGCGCTACTCGACACTTAGCAAGCGTTGTCTGTCTATATGTTGGAGCGATACAGCAAGGACGTCGTACCTACGGAGCACTACAAATTGCATGGCCCGTCCTAATGTTACACCAGCTAGAGACCTTCCCACGTTTCGTGCTCTGTATGCGGTACCGCCCACACGTGGCTTAAAACGGTAGGAAAGTCGCACGTTTCGGTGAGCTCATATGAGCATTTCCTCCTATCTCGATTGTTTAGAATTTTATAAGTACTGCATGTGAAGTATGTGTTAGGAAGACGGCATATTAGCGTGGAAAAAGGGGATGTATTTAATGTGATGCTCTGAAGGAGCCCTGATATGCAGGATACACTAGCATGGCATGATCAAGGGCATGTCCTAAGGATACACGTGAGTGATACACGTGACAATATAATGCAAGCAGCTTATTGATTTCCTGGGGTGAAGTTATACGATGTCTAAAGTTTTTGTTTGAATAGCATTCTCAGATCCCTATCGAGGACCGAGATACATCCATCTTGGCAGTAGCAGGCCTAGAGGAATCAATATATGGAGTAGGAAAAGTAGGTCGTGCTTGCGAACGGATTTCTAATCTTTAGCGGATTGTAAAACCTTGAAACTTTACTATATAGCAAAAGTTTAATCATACAATGTAAATCCTTATCCCTATATAAATTTGACTGAGATATCTTCATTAGCTCATCCTAGGTGCGAATATAAAAATATATTCCATATATATTGCTGGCCGCTGCGGCAACTTCAGCGCTCTTGCGGACTTTTATGGATCTTTGCGGGTATTTACCGCAGCGGCGCGAAATATGCCGCAGACCAAGTCATACTTGGAGTTCTAGGACTTCATGATTACTGAACGGACCAACTCATTGAATCTAGATATAAAAGGCGACCTTTTCTCTTGATTGAAATGAATACACAGACAGTTAATCATACTTTGTTCTACTTGTTACTATTTCACGACTTAAACTCCTATTACTATTACTATGCCTTCATATCTGATTACTGGAGCGAGCCGTGGTCTCGGCCTTGGCTTCGTTACCGAGCTGGTGAGTTTGTACAGAGCATACTCTTTTTATAATATGCTTGCAATTATAATGGCTAAAATTCAGGTGGGGAATTGTAGTTGAAGAAGAAGGAAAACACGGTCATAGCTACTGCCCGAAATACTGCTGGCTCTCCTGGTCTCCAGAAACTGAAACAAGAACACCCAGACGGCCGTCTGATACTACTCGACTTGGATGTCACGAGCGCCGATAGCATCAAGACTGCCGCCGAGGCAACGAACAAGCTGCTCCTAGGAGGACTGGGCAATCTCATCAGCAACGCCGGCGTGTACTACAACGGCCTGAAGACTTTTGACGAATTGCACGTTCGATTGCCCCTTGCACCACGTTCAGGCAGCCCCATGCATTTGCCAAGGTAGAGATATCGAGACTGATATAGGTTATATATAGGATCGTCGAGGACTTGCAAAAGGAAGTAAACTTCAACATCACCTCGCAGCTCCTGCTCCTGCGCGCGTTTGTGCCCTTGGTACGCAAGAGCCAGGCTAAGAAGATCCTGGTCATCACCTCCGGACTCGGTTCCATCCAGAATGCTCCATATACGCCGAACCTTGCGAATGGATACTCTGTCGCCAAAGCAGCTCTTAACATGTAAGCAGACGAGAGGACAGGTGCAGGCTGAGTCTGGACATAAAGTTAACAAAGGGACTGTCTGTTATAGGCTGGTGCGAAAGTATAGCGCTGTCCTCAAGAACGAAGGCATTACCACCGCGCTCCTCCATCCCGGTAAGTCCGATTCATCCATAGCTGCTGAGCAGCTTCTCAAAAGCTAGACAAGGTCATTTGTTCGTTGGCTGATAGATTGTGCGTTGCAGGCTGGGTTGGATCGACGGATATCGGCAACGGGATCTCGGATTGGATGAACGCGTATGCCCCCGATTACGAGAACCTTTCCCTTGAGACATCTGCTGCAGGTTGTATGAAGGTGTTGGATACACTTACCCCTAAAGATAACGGCGAGTTTTTCAATCACGATGGCACGAAGATTCCGTTCTAGATTGGGGAAATAAACTTAGCTGGGTATTGACGTGTAGGTTCGCTTCCCTGGAAGCAGCTTCATAGTCTTGCCAAATGCGTAACCTATGCCAGTAGTTATAGCACTCTCATGGATATATGTGTAGCTTTATTCATAGAGCAAGAGGGAACCGAATCACTTCCATATGCTAGATATGACAACTAGTCATAGGTCTTCGTCTTCATCCCCAATTATCTCAGAGTAATTTTTCTCAATCATATAACTTCAGACGCCGTAGTGATTTCTTCAGCCTCTAGTATCGTTAGATAGATGCCTATGCACAAATATTAGCATTTCAATGTCTGTCATATTATACTGATTAACGCTTACCAGCAAGCTGCCATCTTTTAGTTATAGATCGTAGTAGCTTCTTAGAAGTTTCTATCCCCTCCTCCGTCTCTCCACGGGGTCTCCTACGGCCAAGCCTGATGAGTACCGAGGTGGCCCGGTACATCACATAGGTGAGGGAAAACGACACACGTTCCGTTGATTCGGGACTATTCTGGCAATTGGCATGATATGACACTGCTGCCTCGGATAAACGGCTCAGCGCAATCCGAGTTTCATCCCAAGGGACTTCTCCAACCCCACTAGCGCCAGTGCCAGATATTTGCCAATCATGCTGTTGGAGCAACAAAATGGCGCTTTTAGGCTGTTAGATGGTTGCTTGAATTGCTTGCCCTGGATAGAGACATTGAGAGGGATTACTCGCATAAAACAGATCGAGGACGGTGTGCAGAACTCTAGCCGCCGAACAGTAGCCTCTGTGTCTGCTAGATGTACAAGAGCGAGTAGCGTGCGTCGTAGCTGCATAACCTGGTTTGCGTGAGCAGTTTTGTCCTGGTAATTTACCCTCGGCGGCACTGATTTGAGAGCCTCGCTTAGTAGATAGGTAGCCTGAGCTGTTCTCGAAAAGATTCCCATCTCGAGCGTTAAGCCATTGGATATGACGACGGCGTCACTAGGTTTAGTCGTCTATAATATATCAAAGTTACCATTAGTATTAGTATGGTATTATGGCCCATGAAGAAAAGAAGTCTAGTCTTACGCAATCGTCCCATGCTTTATCGTCTACAGGAAGATAAGTATCGAAAGTTGGGTCTTCCGTTACTAAGTGCCGTCTAGGGTTACTGAGGTTCATGAATCTGCATAACTTAGCCACGATTTGCTACTAGCAACTAGGTCACTTGGATTCGGGACATTCGCTGCTAGAAGATTTACAAACTCACCTATCCAACAGCAGGACGGCCCACCACAACCTCCTTCTCTCTTCGACCTCGATCCAGGTCAGTGGCCCCAAACTTTCGCCCATCAGATCCAAGCCTAACTTATCAATCCCCATCATACATCCATACCGAGCACATGCGCCGATAGTTAAATATGCAGCGGGGTATATGGCCTGGCCCACCTCGTAAACTGCGATCAGGACTGCTGCCTGTAGGACGTGGATCGATAAAGCCCCAGCTGCTTCCACCTTAAAGTAATACGCCTTAGCAGTCTGGTAAATAGCAGACTCGGCATCGCTGCTTCCATTCAGGCCGAGAGATGTTGTGGAGCAAAGCAACATGCATACAGCGAGCAGACTAAGCTCATTGTGTCGTCGCGCTAAAGGGTTGAGCAGATGTGTAAAGAAGATTCTCTTGGATATAATAGGCATCCACGTGTGAACAGACCGGAAAAACGTGGTAGCAATGTTGCGGATATTATCGTCGTCACCTATAAGAGAAGCGACGTCGAAAGGGATCGGCACATCGAAGCGCGGCAATTCTAGCCGTGCCTGGTGGAACACCTGAGGCGCGATGAAGTAGATGGCGGTTGCATTTGATTCGGTGGGCGTGCCTTTATGGTGGTAATGGGAATTGCTTGCCGGTAACTCGGCGTGTGGATATCGGCACTCGACTTCCTTCCGTATACAGAGATCACAGCTGGGGAACTTCTTATCGCACCGTCGTTTACTCCTTCGACACGGCAAGCAAGATTTGCGGGCAGTGCGGGCGTAATCCTCTTGCGATGGCATGGTGTATAGAGAGTTACTACCATCTGCGAATGACGGTTCGCGGCATGCGGCTAGAAGATGGACTGGACGAGCGGTCAAGGCTTAGTCAGCGTATTACGCCAGGCTCAAGGTTTGTCGCTTAAAGATAGGGGCGCTCCCTAGAAGTTTGCTTTAAGTTTGGAATGATCCACTCCATGTGGGCAAACATTTCACCTGGCCGAGAAACTTATAGTATGAAGAAACCAGATCTTCCCGAGCCATATGATCCCCATCTGAGGTCCTCGGCATGGCTGTTGCTAAACAGTCTGGCCCGATGCTCGTCCATGATCAGCTTCTTGAGAGTTCTTAGTCGTGTGAACCATAGACGAAATTATATCTATCCCTGGTGGAAGGCTCTTCTACTTTTCTAGCAAACTATGTTCGACTCTTAGTTCAACGAATCCGCTCAAAACTTTAGTCGTTTTGCGCAAATGCATCCTACTTGTATGTCAATTGCTCTATAATTAATACAAGTGTCATTTCGTTAATTAGAGGCTGCCAGAGTCTAGACCAAGTTTTAGCAATTGGGACATTGGGACATACTTTCCGGAATAAGGATAATTAGGTTATCTCGACCTTCTATTCTGATAAGCTTCTGCTTGGAACTTTTTATATTGAAATTAGAACCCCATATTTACAGGCCTCCTAAATTAGGCATCCCTTCCGCTCTATATATAAGCCTTAGATTAGCAGATTAGCAGTTACGTGGGTGACCACTAGCGAATACCTGCTGTTATATGCTTTTGCTTTTGCCCTAGTGTAATTGCTACCAATTTTTGGGTGAAGGCCTGACTTTTTAGTATTGTGGACCTCCGAGTCGGGTATAGCAAAAAGTGTATGTCGCACCAAAAAGTGAACTTCAGGGACGTTGATTGAGGGAGACATCGTGGAAGTCATGACTGTTGAAGGAAGTGTATGATCATTGAGAAGAGAGAGAAATAGGAAGTTGAAGCGCTGTCAAACCATTTTAAGCTCTGGAATAAGCGAAAACCGAAAATCACCAATAGGCCACACCACAGGGTGTGTATATCTTCTTAGAATCCATGTCATTTCTTTTTTTCAATCCGTGACGTCCATACTATGGCGGAGGGGAGTTCTTTTTTTTTTTTTTTCAAATTTTATATGGGGTTTTCCTCTCATCTCCTCTCTGGAATCTTTGGGAACATACTCAAATCGTACCCATTTCCCTTCGCCAGGCCTCTCTTCCAAGCATCCCTAGCATAAACTCTTTCTAACCAAGCGTCCAACAATGGATAATCAGCCTTCAGATCAGCCCAATTCCGCTGATTCACCATGCTCATTGGAAACTCTAGCAGGATGTCAGCTCGTCCCGGGTGCTCTCCCATAAAGTATCCGCCCTGTGGACCATTCTTCAATTCGTACTCCAGGTCGGCCAAGACAGTCCAGTACGCCTTGCCGGATGACGGGAAATTCCCTGCCGAGTCTCCAGCCTTCAAAACGCCCCAATCAAACATCAGCGCCTGTATATGTACATGATTGAAGGTTGTGGAAGCGATAGAGGTGAGGATCTCGTCACGGATCCAGTCCCCGCTCTTCAGGCCAAACTTGTCTTCGCTGTCAAAGGTGCGAATGAGGTACGTGGCGATAGCGGACGATTCGGGGATGGGACGAGAACCATCCTTGGCACCTGTGATGAGGAGAGGAGATTTGCCGTAATGGCCTGCGGCAATGAGGCTTGGTGGGGAGTGGTAGGGGCGGGTGGGGTGGTTCGGCGAGTTTCGCTCGTGGGAGATCAGGTTGTATTCGATGTTGAGCTCTTCCAGGAGCCAGAGGATACGCTGGGACTGGGAGCACTGGGAGTCGTAGGTTAGCATATGGACTGGATGAAGGGAGGGGAGTGGATGGGCTGATGCTCACGTTCATGTGGTGGAGAGTGGGTTTGTTGTCTGCCATTGTGAAAAGGCTCGTTGAAGATAGGCAAAAATGAAAAGTGAGGATGATAGGAGAGTAAGAGGGGAGTTTGACCTTTAAGCAAGTTCACCTACCTTTGATCCCCCACACCCTTTGCAACCGAGTATCTGCTGGTTATGACGGTAGAGGGGGGGTATACTGTGGAGCGGAGGGGGAATTGTGGACGGTTAGGCCGGCAGACGCTGGTGCCGGCGGACGTTTTGCCTCATTCATATCTTTGTTGAAAGGTATCAGCGAAATCAGCGAAATCAGCGAAATCGATCCGAACAGGCCACCTAGAGTTGATGGAATTCGCCGCGTCTTGATGGGATTCAGCGACTCCCATTCGCTGAATGCACTCAAAGCAAAATACCGAGAGGGTGTTTAATGCCGAAAGAAACATGTGGGCGGGCAGGAGAGGAAGGAATGTATGAGACACAAAAATCATGTCACTTAGCCTTATTGCTCTATAATTCAATAATTCTAGAATTGTTTCTTTGTAATCGTTGCCAGGATGGGATGGGGTCTAGATCTAGTTCACAACTCCAAGTGGAGTGGAGTACAGTAGCTTACCTTAGCGTTAGTATCACGTGCATCGTTTAGTCGGGTTTTTAACCCAATGCTCGCTTCCTTTTCTTATGATTTGTCGTTTCCCCCTCCCTTCACTTGTCGCAAAGGTGGCTTACTCTTCTATTACTATCTATCGATTACCTTGAAATTTAGGGAGGAGATAGTTTTATAGATAGCATTTCACGAGCAAGCTATCACATGTATCTTTAATGTGGTAGTTGTTCAGAATCACAGAACATAAATTTTCCCAGCCAAGATGGATGATTCAAATGGATGCAGACTGATGTCTTTTATAGATTATTGACCATATGAGGCACTTGAATTTTATTTCAAGCTAGCATAAAGCTTTATTTATATATCTATATACCTGCTATAAGTTTTTATACTATGCATTTAAAGTGTGGTGTTCTTATATAAGTCTGAAGTCTTAAAATTTGCTTGCTGGTGGGACAATCGCTTGCACGAATTCGACGAGCTCGGATCTCAGGGCGACGCAAAATCGCGACATGCAACAAAACTTTCGGTAAGCCCAAAATGGATGGATGAGAATGTGGGGTGGGGGCCAATCATGTGATGAGTTATTTGCACCTGCAGCTTTGTATTTCGGAGCATACTGTTCGCGGTTAAGTGAACTCTTCAAGCATATCAGTTTTACTTAAGCAGGATGGGGTGTATTTGACCTACCGTACAACCCGTTATTGCAGATTTAGGATGTGCCTTAGATGAAGTCTTTGCTAGTGCGGCCATTGCTCGTGACCCTCAAACAAGTAGATGGATGATGAAGTAGGCCGATCACACGGTCGGGTGAAGTATTAATTACTGTGATTTGAGAGCACAGAAAGCAGATAATCCCTAGGCAATAATCAAAGGGATTCGGACAGCTTCTTTCTCAAAGTCTCAAAGTAAAAGCGATTTAGTTTCTCGCCCCGCTTTCGGGATGGGCCATTGTGGCTGACATCCTTCGTACGAAGTATGCGATGATTTTATGCCCAATATCTTCATTATCTGCAGCCCAGACAGCAGCCAGGAGAGCATGAACGCGTTTCTTCTCTGACAGCTGACTCGCGTCAATCAGCTGCCGCCGGCATTCCAATCCGAGTCCCGCAAGATTCGAGTACAGCAGCCTCATTGCACCCAGATCTCGTACTTGTATAGATAGTACGGAAGGATCCGATCAATGCTTCAATGTGGGGGCGCCTTTGCAGCGTCAAGGCCGCGCTTCTGGCTGCATCCGCGCGTCTACGCCTGCTTGCCCTGTACTTTTAAAGTGAAGGAGGCATGTGGAAATGGAAGAGCTTTGTTGTCGTCCAATAAAAGGCTTCTTTCACTGGTGGTCGGAAGTCGTCGCCTTGTTTTTCAGTCAATACGCGAGAGCCAATCAGAGCGTGTTCCACCACCTCAACGCGCTTCCCTCAAACGACACCTCCTTAACCGCCGGCATCTCCGTTTCGACTTGCCGCAGACAAAGAGCCATCTACTGGTTCTTAACATCTCGTCTTCTTTGTTACTGAGATGTAGAAGTCTAGACCTTTGCTCAAAGTAGGCCGGTCTTTGGGTTTCATTTCGTGAGGCGCTATGCTGCGACAAAAGTGGAAAGATGTCGTGGGCCAGACATACCACAGAGCTATTGTTGGGCCTTTCACTCGTGGCCTTCTTCAGCCATTCATGTGTAAGACAAAGACTCGCATTGGTACAAGATGTCCCATTTTCCTCCGACGTGTGAGAGGTTCAAGTTTCTTCAGTCTTTCTCTTCACAGTTCCACATCTTCGTCGATCTTTCATATTCATTCTTTGATCATCAACATTCTCTCTTTTTCTGTCTTTCAAACATATATTCAAACATTAATTGTTGTATTTGCCCATCTTTTTTAAAAGATACCTTCGTGCCTCTGATCGCTGCGCCATTTCCCTGCGGGTCACGGGATCTGCCTCGATCGAATCTCAACGTTTCAACAGTCCAACACAACACTAGGGGACCATGAAATCCTCCGACGTAATAACTATTGTTCTTTCACTTGTAGGCTTCACTGCGGCAGGTCCGCTACGGCGCGATAGAGATGGCCGGTAGTAAGATCTCTGATATAATCTGCTGTGCATCTGCTGACAAGTTATTAGTCTCGCGAGAAGCGCACCATTTTCGAATCTCACCGTGCAAGCTGAAGCATCCCAAACATCCTCGGTGGAGAGCATCGTAATAGTACCCATTCATACCTCAAGCTCTAGCATAGCGCAGGCCACAAGTATTACGGTGTCGTCTGACCATCCCACGACGAGCTCCGTGATATCTTCAAATACACCCCCAAGTTCCCAGCTAAGCAGCGTAAGCTCTACGGTATCATCAACCTCAAACTCCCAGACGAGTACTATCTCAGCTTCATCAGCCTCCCTGTCAAGTGGCTCAAGTTCCACGGTACCAACGGGTTCGAACGCTCAGACAAGTGCTCCCTCGACCTCATCGTCCGCATCCCAGTCAGGTAGCTCAAACTCTACGGTATCCACGAGTGCACAATCTCAGGCGATCTCTGCCTCGACTTCATTGTCCTCGTCTCAATCGAGCAGCTCAAGTTCGTTATCCAGTGGTACTCCCCAATTCAGCTCAACAGCAAGTGAGTTATCCACCGCAATTAATTCGGCTCCGACTTTGTCCTCAAATGCAACTTCAGTATCAGGCAGCTCAACAATTTCCTCGCCATCTGGAACTGGAGAGTCAAGTTCAAACTCTGCAACACAGAGCATATCAGCGAGTTCCTTGTCTTTGGTTAGTAGCTCACTACTGTCCACGTCTTCTGATGCGCTTCCCAAAACAAGCAGCACCAACAGCCAGTTGGTCCCCTCTTCGAGTAGCACTATCTCGAACTCGAACTTTGTCACACCTTCAAGCTCTAGTTTCACTAGCTCAAGCACAATACAGTTTCAAAACACTACTATCCCGGTACCAAAACCGTCTCAATCCAGCGACCAGGGTGCTCCAGAAGGGGGAATCATTTTATCAACCTCTTCATCTGCCAGTAAATCTGCAAGCGGATCAGCGCTCCCTGAATTTAGCAACCCAAACACACTCCTGAACCCCACTACTACCAACGCCGGGTCTCAGCCAAGTTCACAAGCGGCAGAATCTAGTACTTTAATATCTGTATCTGCGCCAAGTGCTGGGTCTCCTAATGTTGCAAATCCAGGAAGCCCGACTGCCTCCAGTACGACATCTAATAGCATAATACAAACGTCTCAGCCTATTTCGACCCCATCTTCTACCGCTTCAGTTCAAGCATCATCGCCGCTAGCCAGCTCACTCGCATTATCTTCTATGTCTATACCAAGATTTACACTTACTAATACCGACCCGATCCCTGATCCAACCGGATCACTCACCCAAACCGCCTCTTTATCGGCACCCGGAGGGTCGCAAGCATCGGCGGCTCCTCCAGCAAATCCGACTACACTCATTACGATTAATCCATCTTCCCTTACCAACATTCCAACGTCATCAGTATCCAGCATATCAGAAAGCATCTCCCAAATTCCCACAGTAATTCCAGAACCCACCGCAAGCGCAACATCGACTGTTCCAGCAGCCATATTCAGTTCTAATCTCGCGGAAGCTCAAGCCTACAATGCTATTTTCGCTGGCCTCAATTTCTCATCCCCATGCACTGCAGGTCAAATCGCCTGTATCTCTGGTAGTGTCGGTAACTGCAACTCGGCTGGGAGTTTTGTCGTCCAAACTTGCGACGCAGGATCCCAATGCTTCGCTATGCCTATGAATTCCACCAAAGGTGTAATTGTAGGGTGTGCGAACAAGGACGTGGCTTCTAGCGTACTAGGAGGAGCATCAAACCCAAGCACAAGCTCAGCGACCTCCAGTTCAGCTCCAATTGCCCCATCCACAACACAACCAGGCGCAAGTCAAATGACCGTCATCTTATCCAGTAGGCCACCGCAGAGTACCGCTCCAGCAAGTATTTCGGTGGCCCCCTTGGCTCCATCAAACACCCCTCCCGCCTCAAGCGAATTGACCTCAACGACATCCCTCCACGTGACACAAACACAAACCGTAATCTTCACGGACCTGAGCTCAGCCTCAGCAACCCCCAAACCAGCTGCAACCACACAGCAGCCGACCCCACAGGCACCAATAACAGTCACGAAATCCGTCACCATCCATGACACAACTGCTCCTGCCACAACTGCTCCTGCCACAACTACTCCTGCCACAACGGCAGCAGCGAAGACAACGACTGAGGACGGAAAAGAGAAGACGGTAACTGTCACGGAAACAGTGTCGGTGTCTGTAACTGTATCTGTGACTGTGCCGGTCCCGACGACGGTCACAGTTACTGCTACGAATGCGGGAGCGGCGGTAGGCTCGAAGACTAGTGCGGCGAGCATTCAGATTATCCCTGTGCCTGGGAAGGGGAATTGAAATGTGGTGCGGGAGAATTGGGAGTCCTTGGTTGTCGGAGGTATGGAGTATTCGCGTTCCGTATATACAGATCAAGGGGGAGTTGAAAATTTGGTTTGTTCTATTTAGATTGTTTTTATAGGCACGGAGTATAGTATATAGATGTTGTAGTTCACGTAATTGATAATATTTCATAGAACTCTAGTCATTATCAATATATAGATAATCTTATTACCCCTCCCCCTATCTTGGCCGTCCAGAATTGCCCGGGCAAGATGGCTAAACCTGTATCATGCATTATATGATACCGACATTCAATTAAAGATTGAAGTACCAAGTGTATTACTTCCAGATATATACATTATCTATTATTTAAGACAACCACGCCCAAAACTTCCCCCACATAGTAGTCGGCTCCTGAATACTCCAATTCGTCGTCTCATGAATCAAACACCCCGTATCAATATCCGCCTCTGCACTTGATACAAATCTCGCACGCGTTACCACTTTATGTCCCACATAAGCTACAACAAAGAGAATCACACTGACATACGCTGCGAAAAAACTCGACGTATTCCAGGGGATGAAACTCTCGAATCCTTGGGTAATGATAATCAACACGTTGAAAAATAACCCGTACCATGCAAAGAACGGCTGCCACATCGACTTGTAAGGCAAGCTGTCGCGAGAAATGTTTCGCACGGCCAGAGCACGCATAAAGGCAATGTGACATCCGTTGATGCAAGCCCAGGTGATGAATCCAGCCACAGCAGTGATGTTTTGCAACCAGTTAAACACCGTACCGCCACTATGCGAAAGATTCAAAAATGCAAGGAGTCCGAAGACTGCTGTGAATACTACTGCGACGTAAGGAACTCCGTTCTTAGCTGTGCGCCCCAGAATTGCCGGTGCGGCGCCGTCTCGGGCGAGAGCAACCAGGATACGACTGCCGGAATAGACGTTGGCATTTGCTGCAGACAGGACAACAAATAAGAGCACGGCGTTGATGAGACCGGGCAGGACTTTGACACCCGCCAGTTTGGCGGCGATGACGAAGGGTGATGCGGTGGCGTCCGATGCTGAAGAAAGGAGGTCTGGATTGTCATACGGAACCAGGAGGCCGATGAAGAAGATGGAGAAGACGAAGAAGAACAAGATCCTGTAAAAGGTCTTTTTGATAGCAGCTGGGACAGCCTTCCGCGGGTTCTCCGTCTCGCCGGCGGCAATACCAACAAGCTCGGTACCTTGGTACGAAAAGCCAGCCTGGATCAACACTGCCCAGAAGCCGACGAACTTGGCGAGAGCCTCATTATCTGTAATGAGGTAGGGCGCGAATGCGCCAGGGTTACCCCAGGTATGGAATCCAAGATAGCCATGTTGACCAGCTCCAGCATCGATACAAATGGCAAAGATGAGAAAGCCGACGATAGTCACGATCTTGATACTTGCGAACCAGAACTCGAACTCTCCGTAGAAGCTCACCGGGAGGAAGTTGGCGAGGGTAACGGCCACCCAAAATACCCCAATGAAAATGCCAATGGAAAGATCCTTATTCCAGTACTGAATAATGAGTCCCGTGGCTGTAAGTTCCAAAGCGTACGTCATTGCCCAAGAGAACCAATAAATCCAGCCCATGGAAAACCCTAAACTCGGATCCACGAATCGGGTAGCGTAAGACGTAAAAGCTCCAGCGATGGGAATGTACGTCGCCATCTCTCCGAGCGACTGTATGACTGAGTAGACGATAGTCCCCACAAAAATATAGGCAATAAGAGCTCCAGCAGGTCCAGCTTTAGAAAGAGCTCCTCCAGACCCAATGAAGAGCCCAGTTCCAATAGTGCCACCTGCAATATATCAGTGACAAATTTTATGCTAGCGTCAAAGGAAGCATACCTATAGCAATCATCTGCAAATGCCTACTTTTCAGCCGTCTCTGGAGCTGAGGAAATTCAGATGCACCCTTCTTCTCAACATCATCCCCAGAATGCCCACTGGCACCACAAGAATGTGTTCCCCCATTGCCACTCTTCTCCTCTACTGGCGCGATGGCCATACCTTCATCTGATCCCATTTCAATTCAACAAATAAAGTAAACCACTCAGTGAAAACCTAGGCACTCGACCGAAAAACCCCCTGAACGATATTTATAAAACTCCATAACGAAAAATCTTTTTCTTACTTAGCAAAGTCTTACGTTTTGTGCGGATCAATAGTCCCGCACTTGTCAGGTGACGGCCGCTACTAACAGAAAAATTCCGATGGAAAGGGTATAACCCTTCACGTTTCGGTAGGAAAAGCGGCTATTGGAGGCCGGAGCTCACCGGTACGTACCTGGAATAAAATTATATCATTGCGGAGTATTTTCTCTGCTTATGCAAGGGCGAACTCAACTTTGATTTATTTTCCTCCTCGGATTGTGCAGTTGGGGGTTGAGCATTGAAGATAGAGGATGGATGATGCCCAGAGTTGGGGAATCAACGCTGAAGCTAATCTGAGCCTCCCGCTGTATCCCTGTGGTGGCGCTCAGCCATGCCTTGTTGCGCAGACAGACAGGGAAACGAGGCACGTGTTTGGAACAACATTATACTCGTATATATATATTCATAGCACTTCAAGCCAGCCCAGCCCACGTCTCGGAAAAGGCAGAACTAGAAATGAAGCATCCAGATCAGCTATCCTGCAGCTCGACCTGTCTACCATTTGTCCGTATGTTGGTGCTGGTCGCTGTTGCAGAGCATGTCGCCGTCGCCGTCGATGCGTCTCGTTCCCATCACCCTCCTTGTCCGAGTTGGACTTTGCTGTTTGCTGTTGGCTGTTGGTAGGTCTATCCTTATACGATCTAACACTGATATAGCCTAAGCATAGGTACCTATACTAACCACTCTAGATCTATAGTAAGCATTTACTTCCTGAACTGCTGTATACTAGAACCTGAATGTCCGAGACCGATTTATCGACCAGCGTCATGAGCGTGGTGCTAGTTTGGGGGTTCTAGGCCGACGAGCTGGGATGCAAGGTCCGGCGATTGATGGACGTGGTGGTATATCGTTATCTGGATCTAGATCTGGATTTGGACCTCGGCTTGGAAATGGTGGAGGATATGGATATATGAGATCGCGGGATCTGGTGCGCGATGGACTGACTGTATGAGCCGAATCGGTATTTTCAGCCTGGGAATGATGGGGAGTTGGGCGGGCATCGGAGGGGTAGGAGGGATGGGAGGTATTGATTAATTTCTGGAGCCGGGTGGCTGGATTGCGTGGGTGGTAGGACTTGGTAGGTGGAAGGATGGGGATAAGGTATGATAAACTTCTATATAATTCATTTCACTGATCCACACAGAGTACGATATTTATTTTGAAATTTGAATATTTATTGATGCATTGATATTAACAGTGTCATTAGTCATATAATACACCAGGTACACGTTCTCAATTTCGTCCTGCGAAATGAAAGAGAACAATGTATCACTTACTACTTTCACTTCTTCCCCCAAAACTTGAGCGAATTTCCACGCTTTCGCCCTGATCTCTCTGGCTCGGCAGTGCTCAATTTGATACCCTTGAGCACTCTCGATAGCGTGTTCTGGTGCTGCAGCACTGGTGGCGGAGGAGGACGTGGCTCAAGGCGAAATTCCGGAAACGCTGGCGTTGGTGAACGAAGAGCTGGTTTTACCGCGTGAAGCGGTCGTGGTGGTGGCCTCGACTCTCCAATCACCTCGATGTCTCCATCAAATTTGACGCGTGCGGCAGAGTTCGAAGCTTGAGGCTCAGCAGGCGGATCCGATAGCAGGACGATGGGGATGCCTTCGACGGGAATACCCAAAGCCAGATCGTGAAACCAGTCCACTGGTTGGATGACTCTTGTTGGACGAAGCTGGATTCCGAACTCAGCTACGAGATCCCCCTCCTCGGTTTGAGGGTTCGGTGGGCTCTGGCCGCCGCGCACGGGGTGCTTGAAGAGAATACAGAAGTAGATGTCATCATCTGAGATCGATGATCGCCGCATTCCTGCGGTGGGGTTGATCCAGGGCGATGGATCTGCTAATCTGACATGGTCCAATTCCCCAGTGTCTGTCTGAAATATCATCTTCATTGAGGCTATTTCTGGGAGAGGTAACGGCCAGCACGCGGGTGCAGGTTCTAGTGCTGGCTGTGGCCCAGGCTCTAGATCTAGTCCTAACTTTTGGGGTACAACCTCTTGTCCGTTTATGTCTTCCGGTCTCAGCACATTGTGGAAAACCTCATCCCCGATTTGCAAAAGCGCCCAGTACTTTGACTGTATATCAGTTCTCTTCTTAATCTTAAGCTCAATGATCAAGGACGGTGGATCTCCCAGCGATCCGTCGATTTCAACCACGAGATCCCCATCTTGGGTCACGTCTTTTGGGAGACATGCAGCGAACTGCTTCATGTCTATGATGGCGAACGTGCTCTTCGTCGACGTTCGTTTGGGGAGACTAACAAGCAGGTGGACGAAATATCGCGGGCCGTGGCGTTTTCCTGCTTTAGGTGCAGCTGTAGATATTGAGGCAGCTTTGAAAGCTTGTCGGTCGATTCTTACCTTGAAATATCTGTCTGTTGCTTGTGATCCTTCTGGATTGTTTACTCTTTTGTGTTCCGCTTGGAAAGTGATTATGGTCATTTTGATAAGAAATGTTTTATAGGTCTGCTTGGTGTTGGATCGATTCAAGTGACTACTCTAGATGCTGTGGGTCTTTTATGGGATCATGTTGGCATTGTTATAGTGGAGGATTTCTTTAGTGATTTTCTGTTGTCTGTTGCTTGTCAGTCTTTCACGAAATTATCATGTTCCATTGTTGCATTGTTTACCATGTGTCTTCGTTTTCAATGGGCTTTGCAATATTCTTTATGCATTATCTGATCGTCGTTATTTGATTGTTCATACAGCTTTCATTGTCTTTGTTAAAGGTCGCCTCTTGGAAATGCCCACTAAATATTGGTCGAGTTCTTGCGCTTATTTCACCCGATTACACGATTATTGTCTCGCACGCATGTTACTTTATTCAATTTTAGATTTTCTTTTCTTAGTCTATCAATATCCAAACTCCAACGTTGCCAACTCTAAAGGTAAAACATTCTATTTCCTCGCAAAACTCCGAAAAGAGATAGGAAAAGAGAACGGACCACTTAACTGCTTGACAAACTCCTGCGGGGCCTGCCCTCACTCCTCCCACCTGAGTCTCAGGAAAAAGGAAATAGATGACGTACCTGCTTGACATACTCCTGTTGGGACCTGCCCTCACTCCTCTCGCCTGAATCTCAGGGAAAGAAAATGGATCGCGTACTGCTGGAGACGCTCCTGCTGGAACTGTCTTTACTCCCTAGACTTTGAAAAGGAATAGGAAAAGGATTATGGATCACTCACCTGTTTGAGACACTCCTGTTGGACCTGTCTTCACTTGTCTTAAACCAAATCCGAAAGACGCCTGAGCAATCTTGACACCGTGCTTCTCCGCTTTGTTTGCGTGACTGGTCTAAATCGCGGCAAGTATGCAGACTGCGGTGCGCCGCTTGCACGTAACTTGAGCTGTGCAGCCGTCATAATACCATGGACAGCTCCTGATCTATGGAGCTTAGGTTTAGTGGGATCCAAAATTCCGTCAGTTATAACCTTCGGTTTTGCAGCATGTGGGCTCCGAGGCTCCAATCCCATCGGTTCTCCGTTGTTTGGGTTAAGGAACGGTCTCCGGAGTTCATAGGAGACGCTGTCTTGTAGGTCGAGCAGGGGCCATGTATCCATGGTTTTAAGGACGTTGAACTGAATGGTGAGAGCGGGCATTGCTCCCTCTTCTTCATTCAATTCCACGTTTACGTCAGCACGGTGTCTATTCTCTGGGCTGGAGAATAGATGCCTCACCGGCACTCTCAGGACCGTGCGTCCGGGTTCCGTACGTGCAGGAAGATATAGTGTGCAACGGATTGTGAGCTTCTCGTCTGCTGGACGGTACGGGATCTCCTTTGTGTATTCCTTCAACATGTTTTGTGGGAATATTACTTCATAGTACCTGTCTTGGTCTGGTAAGCCCTCGACGTTTTTGGTTTGTCCAACTCCGACTGGGATTGACAAGTTTACTGGCATTCTCGATGATAGTATCTTTTTGATGATTAAAAAGAAGTCTTCTTGGATGATGGGGTACCTCGTGAGAGTTGCTACGTTGAAGGCTTTGTTAACAGATGGTGGTGATGGTGAGTGTGTAGTTGGATGCTTTTGTAAAATGGGTGAGCATTCAAGTGCTTATATAGTTCCTCATATAAGACTGTTTTTCAATACATTTTTATTTCTCAAATGATCATGTTTCTCAAGTTAAAGAAAGGTTCCTGTTTCCCTTCAAAAGTTGAGCAGTAGGGATAGAGTTTCATAGTTCACATTTGCTGTTCCTTTGCTCAGCTTTGTCTATTACTCAAAAACAATTATTTTCCAATTGAGACATCTCAGCCACACAATCTTGTATTTGTTATAACGTGATGTAACAGTCATCGTTCTAAGTTACGCGTAAGATTCCATACCATGTTCCCATCAAAATCATGCTAGTACTTTTGTCCCGTCTAAAAGAAGTCTCATTGCGCTATCCATTAATTGACGATTCTCAAGATTCATTTTCCATGCCGCCAAACTCTTAAAAAGGGACAATAGAAGAAACAAGACTACCTACCTGGTATGTGCCTGCCAAGTTTCTTTTTGTCTATAGAGCAAACAATGGTGTTGGCAAACAATGGCGTCAAGTCTTTCACGTTATTCCGCTCATTGTTCACATTATTATTACAAATCACACAAAGAGATCCACCCAATCCTGTGGCGGTGGGTGAAACAGTGAAGAGGCGGGGTGGAGGGGTAGGGGGCACTACTAACTGCTATGCCCTTCAACTAGCCAACTAATCAAATATTTCACATTTCCTAGACTACACTTCACATTATCGACATCATTTGAGTTTTCATAAGCATTTTCTATTCATACAAAGGCCATCTACCCAACCCTTATCTACACCATTTTTCTAATGTCAACAAAATACAAAACTTCCGTCCCATTTCTTTTTATTAATTTGGAGTTTCACCATTTCTAGAATCATCATCACCTTAATTAATTCCGAATTAATCGTCCATGTAATTTGAATCCTCGCTAGCTCACCATTTCGGTGCTCGAGGCTGGCTCGGTGAAGGCGGCCAGGTTCCCGGTCCCGGCTGTCCGCCTGGCCCGCGTGCGAGTGTGAGCGCGAGTCGAGGACTGCATGTTGCCCGAGCTGATTTGATGGTTTTCGGCATTGCTGTCGAGATGCTGGTGTTTGGGGATTTGGTTTAGGTTTTGTTAGGAGTGTTGATTGTGTAAGGAAGTCTCATACTGGGACTTTCTGAGGTTTTGTACTTCTAGTGGATTGTTTAATTCCATATTTTGTGTTATTCACGATGAATGAAGTACGGGGAGAATGTTGCTATCTCTGCGGATATAGCAAGCTTTGTCGCGCCAACAAAGCAGTTTTGTTTCTGTTGAAAGATTTCAGGGGTAAATGACTGATACCGGACGCATAATGAGGTTTATGATAGATACCGGACTCAACTTGTTATTTATAGATCCAATATTAGTCGTTTGACGAGATTTTAATACACTGACCAACGAAATCGCTGTTCCAGTACTGCTTAGCACGGCAATATTAGTAAGTGTTCAAGTGCAGAAAGGTCATTTACATACCCATTCAAGGCTTCTTGAAGTAATTGTTCAGGGTGTTCTTCTGTGGGGATTTCTCCAGTTTCTTCTTCGGCGCTTCACCCTCCTCTTTATCAGGTTTCTCGCCAACTTTCATCAGCAAGTACAGTTCTTCAAACTCAGCAGTATCCACAATACCACCCGAGGCCTCTTTATGACCTCGGGCAAAGTTCTCCCCAAGTCTCTGCACGAGGTCAGTGGTATCGCGTTCTGCGACTGCCTTTAAGGATTCTATAATGTTCACTGGTGGGTCTCTGCCCCGCGCGCAACGAGCTATCCTGCAAGAGAAGTTGACTTTGCCTGACAGGTATCCGTAGTTGGCTACCATTACGATTTCGAGAGCTTTTGACTTCAAGTGGCTTGCCTGAATATCGGTGAGACTTGGGGCAGAGGTGATGGGCATATCAATCTTACCCAGCGTGTTGCAATGACGGGATGCACTTGAGCTTGACTATCTATCTTTAAGACTGCGAATTTTCCATCTTTGCTGAATTTCGGAGGAGTATGCGTCCGCTTCTCGACCTCTTCATTGATCTCCTGCCTTGCCGAAGCAAGGCGTGAATTATTTAAGATCTGTTTCGGATCTTTGGCCTCGAGAAGGGTGTTCCAGGCCGTTATCACGTCATACGTCCCAGTTCGCCGAGCTAACGATTCAGCTATGAGATAAATAAGGAGAGGGGAACATACGAGCATTGATGTAAGAGACGCAATCGTTGATCAGCTTCTTGGTATACTTCTTGAAGGTTTCCGTCATGTCGGGAAATGGTGGTAGCCATTTCAAGGTATTCCCCAGATCACCATGGGTCCCCATTGCGCACAGATACCCGCATTCCGAGGCAATATCTGGCACCAGCTCTTTGCAGATCTCATAAGTGATTAGGGAAGTTGTTCCTACTGGTGGACAATGGCATCCTGACACAACCTTGATCAAATCAGTAAAGGGGACTGACTTGCCATGAAGGAAAGTTGCTCTTACTATGGCACCTTCTGGAAAATCGTCGCTGAGGTGGTGATCGATGACAAGCGACCTAACCTGACTATCATCAACTACAGGAGGACCCTTTCTACTCCCTTGGTCGAGAACAATAACGAATTGCGGCTTCTTCTCGAGCATGATCTTCCGCTCATCTTCCTCATGGATATTTTTCCCCTTCTGTACCAGGTGAACATCGAGGAACTTCGGATCAAGACCCAGCTTTACAAGAGTCCTATGGACAATGACACCAGAGCTGAGACCGTCCGCATCCTTATCTGGAACAATAAGGGTTGGTTTATTGGCATCAGCGCTTTCTCGAAGTCAGTCACATGATCCGGAATTTGCTCTCATGGACATACCATTCTCTCAGGAACTTGCGAGCAGATATGATTTGCTCTTCAGGGGCTGGCCATATAGGATCGCCATTTGGACCTTTCTTTGTCTGGACGCTGCAATAGTCATCGACTTTCACCGCTTTCCTAGCTGATGGCTCTGGACTCGTTGCTTTTCGCTTCATTCCGCGAATTTGTTGTAAAATTGGGAGTGGCAATGCACTGTTTTTGAAATGAAAGTGAGATCGCAATACTGGATGAGCACAAAGACGGTTCAAAGAGTTTGAAAGACAATACATTGATTTCTTCTGCCTGCTTGTTGCCTTCGTTGTGGAAAGGAGGTGTCGTTGAATTGAATTATCGACGTCACCTACTACAGTAACCGCTAACCGAATTGGGAATACTCGCTTTTGTCCACCCCTTGAGTTTCCTACCACTTGGTCGAGTAATAAATGCAGAACAATGGTATTGCGCCTTGTTTGTTCTTTGTTATGTCCGACTTCCTCTGATCGAACAAAGATTTCCTCAGTTCTCTTGCCGAATCCTTGGTCTCGTAAATCCTGTAGCAAAGACCTTTGAGCAGCTCCCAAGTGACAAAACAATGGCTTTATATCTCTATAAGGTCATGTTTTCCACCAAGGACAAGCTCTACCAGGTTCGTTCTTCAACACGCAGGTCAGCACTTCGACCGTCACATCCACCAAACGATTGAAACATTTGTCAGAACCGTCTTCAAACACTTCAAAAAACATCCACATAATGGATTCCCCAATAATCAATGGGTTTCTCGCAGGTAGCTTTACCATTGTCAAACCCGTCGTAGAAGAAGTAGACTGGTTTTACATCGAGGAAGACAAGGTGATTCGGCACTTCACATTCTTGACGAATGGTGAGGGATGGAGGGAAGTCACGAGGCAAGTCAATAAATACCCTGTCAACACATCTCCAGGTCCATCTTTAGGGGGGCAGTGCTTCACTGACTTCATAGCCACCGACCCTGTCCATCCAGCCCATAGAAATGTGACCCCAGACGGACTTCGAATGCACCCAGTTATTGCGCCCACCTCACTCGGACTGTTCTCAGACGAAGAGTGGGACAGTTTAAATTCAAGCGACGAGGAATTGTGGTCATTTGTGGTAAGCGACGCTGGAAACATCACGACAGTCTGTAAGGGAAAATTCGAGCTACTTGAAGTTAATAGAGGTAAAGCTCGTCGGCCATGTAGACACCACCACCCGCACTGCGGAACATGCTCCTCGGAAAAAGTTGTTGGCTGGCTCAAGCGCAAGTTGGCGAAAAAAGAGTAAAAGACTTCAAGTGAAGGTTTCAAGGGGTATAGATTAATAAGATAATTTCACATTGAAGATAATATACTTTGCGATATAGTTTGCATGTGAACCATAACCATCCTTAATGAAGTAACGTAGTGTTTTTTTCCCCTTGGGTATCCTCTGCAATACAAAGCATGTCAATGAAAACAGCGTGTCCGCGATACCCAGTATCTCACTAACTCCACCCCATCACAGTATTTAACCTCCAAGCGCTATACAAATCGCGAGTCAACTGTTTTTGATGCATCACTCACTCCAACACTATAATCGTAGTCTTGACAACAACTCGTCCCGATCTTCATGCTTGATAAGCCAAAGCCATTCCTGTCGATCATCGGAGGAAACTCGGTTCAGGACGGCCTTGCATCCTACCATAGAACTGACAAGAGAGACTACAATCCGAACATAGTGTTGGGACTTTTGACAGTTTCGGTCTGTAAAGTGATTTGCAGGACACCCTTTTGTGATGATTTTGACCCGTGAAAGCCCATTACCGTAACCAATAGATTTTTGGACATTGACGAAGAAGTTTAGGATAGCTTCTAAACTTCTTCCTCGAGGTTCAGAGTACTCATTTTCGACCGGCGTTGTGTCAAGAATGAAATACCTGAAATCGAAAAACGGGCGCATGCTTTCCTTGTTGAGATCTATTATCCTTTGCTTTGAGATTTCGTCGTCTCTGTTCCTAGATAAGCAGCCGAGCCAGCTTGATTGAAGCGGTGACTCACTCGAGATCTAATTGCAGGTTCGCGATGTTCTTGACAGCCGATCCAGGCATATTTTGGAAGCCCCAATCTAATATTAAATTTGGCGTCAGCCTTGCTCTGCTAGGGGAAAAAACTACACTCCAGACAAAGTCTACCGTTCGCATCACAGAGCCTGTAGACGTTTGTTTTAATAAAAACGTTCAGACCCTCTCCATACAACTCGGGATCTGCTCGAAGCGCCTTGAGGAAGCCTGGCATATAGCCGCCGCGTTGCCAGTGGCCTGCGAATCCGGCTATGAAAATGAGCTCCCTGATTTCTGGAGGAAAGGCCCTAAGCCCCTCGTCAGTGAGAGGAGTAGAGCGCATTGAGTACATTTCAGTCAAACATGCTAAGCATGTAATTTGATGTTGATGGTTGAGGCGGGTAGTAAATGCATCAGGTGGCAATATGTCTCGTCCGATTGTCGACTAACCGGGGGGTTTCTAGACGCTGCAACCGAGAAAGCGCGAATCATGGTCATGTGATCAAGCTAATATCTTTTCAACGTCCACACATAATCAAAGGCCGGATCTGGAAAAACAGGCATAAAAGATGCGGATGGAAGCATTATAGCGGTGGGGTGAGTCTCTGAGTCGCATCTTACTCCGTAAAGAGGTTTTTCGATACTAGGCAATAGAGCACGTGTGTATCGTCCAGGCCAGGAGACAATGAGGTAGGAAGGCAGGAACTAGTGTGGACAAATTTATTCTTTGCTAGGGATTTTCTACTTACAAGTGTCTACCTGTGTATGTAACATTTTTGTTGCTTCTTTTCAAAGTATCAATTCCTCCGGTATAGGAAAGGGATGCAAAGTGATGCAAATCTTGCCGAGTCAAGCTATCCAAAAATGCTTCATTTAAATAATGGAATGTTATTATTCAAGCATCGCCCCCTTGTGAATAATGAAATCCCTTGCGTATGGTAGAGCTTGGCCTTGTTTTGCAAATATTGGTGAGATGCGTCGCTTCCCCTATTCACATTCTCGCTAAGCTCCTTCTTCCAGTTCCGACGCCATCACGATGAATATGAGATAGAGGGTGCAACGCCATAATGTGTTAGTCCGTCTGGGACACTAGAAATTGGTCCCCCCCTTTTCTGTCCACCGCAAAAGGATACTGGTGTTTGGGGTAGTAAAAGGAAACAATTTAGAATATCCATCACTCCAGCGCACGAAATCTATACCATCTCGAACCAACCACTAAGCAAAGCCTACCAACGAATTCCCCAATCAGGAGTTGTCAGTAGTTTCCCAATACACCTAAATTGTAAATGCAAGCATTCACGTCCATTTCTCCAATTTCTTAAGTCTCAAACTCATTTTTAAAGCGTCACTACCTCAAATAAGTGAAAAGTCTTGCCATCTATTTTCTCTTCCCTTCCTTTTTCAGCTGCTTAGAGGTGCCTTTCTTGGTAGTCTCTTCCTTCTCACGCTTCTCAGCCGCCCCATTCTTTGCCTCTCCTTCCCTTTCGACGAAATCATACTCCAGTTCATCAGGCTTGGGCATGTCGGATTTCTCGATAAAATCATAAGTAGCGCGGTCCTCTTTAGCTTGACGCATCTTTTCATAAATTTCCTCCCTGGTCAATGTCAATAATCGCCTTTCTGACATCGTATTGGATAAATCTGTGGTGTAAGGTATTTAGGTTTGAGATCAAAGAAGGCGAGCTCAAGGAGATATGTTGGATTGTGCGTGGGGGAATTTGACAGTTAGGAAATGCAGGGGTCAATTTGGGGGGTTATTTATAGAATTATATGGGTTGTTTGAATTGTTTGGATTGTTTACTCAGTCTGATTTTGGGCGAGACAAACCAACAGGATTGTCCTGGACATCTTCCATCTTAACGCACTGCGCCAACATACTATGGCTCACTGACTGCGGACTCATCTCTAACGTGTCCTAGGCTCTGGATCCTCACCATTCAGTCTCCTCTGACTCTGCATCCAGAAGGAAGAATGAAAGTTTGAGGAAGCCGCTGGAAGACATCGAACAAGCTTTCTGGCATGAGCGTGTCTGCATACCAATCTACTACATTTTCCTTTTTCTTTGGAATGGCGTTTGGTGGTGGAGAATCGTTGGTGTTTGTTTTGGTAGCGCATGATTGGATTTTGCGGAGAGAATGCGTGTTTGACATGAGTTCGTCCTCGATATACCAACCAACTACATTCTTCTTCCTTCGAGGAACGTTTGCTCATAAAGTGTCGGTGGGCATTTGGTGGAAGTGTAAATGGATTACAGTATTCTTGATAAGAGGTCGGTTGGATGAGAAGTTCTCGTAGTTGGCATTTTTGGGGGTCTTGTAGGTCGATTCTGGCGTTATTCGGATAGACTGTTCTGGATAGAATAAGGAAGAACAATGGCATTGTTTTGTTTTGATTTGAAGTTGGAAAATCGGCGAACAAAGGACTTGTTGTGTTGAAAATAATGAAAATCTGCCAGGTGCATGAATAAGACGCTGGTTTCCTTGGAATAGAACAAGTGGAATGAGTATACTAAATGGAACACAAAATACAGTTCCGAAGATCTCGGACTTCGAGTGATATGTTATGGTCACGGGTTTAGGGTCACGGAGTACAGGATACCAAAGAAATGCATTAAAGATAGCTCGTTTTTTTATATATAACCCTGGACTTCAACTATCCAGTTTCCGCAGAGTGTGTTTCAGCACTGTTTGAATGCCAGGATCCAGTTCATTGACCTTAAGTATTGGCTCAATCCACGCTCTCGTCTTCTTCGCTAACTCCTTTTTGTCTTTTGTCTTCTCCGTTGACTCCTTCAGCCTATCCAAAGCAACCCCGAGAGCTCCTGGGAACTTCGGCGAATTAGGATCAAGTCCCACGAAGGGTTGCCTGACGTAGCAATTGCAAGTAAACGGATCGGCGTCGTATGCTTCTGTCATACTGTCCAAAACGTGTTGCAGGATTTTTGGTAAGCATCGGACCTGTGTGAACGTCGCAAACATGTCGAAAAAGTCTCCCGCAGCAGAAGCGCAGAAGAATGGTTGTTTGCGGGCCGCATCAAAAATCGCGAGAGGTATGGCACCATTGAGGGCTGGCGTTGTCATAGGATCTTTGTTTGCTTCTGAGTCCACCTTTACGCCCTCCATCATTTTGGGTCGTAAAGAATTGCCATTGAAATCGGGAATCGATATAACATCGGCCTGAATGTCGAATGCTGGATCAGCATTCGCATTCTCCATTTCCTCGTCCTCTTCCTCAGATTCATCGGCGTCCAGACCCAATATCTTCCTCCGCGCGGCAATCTTTGCAAGATATATCATCTCCAGCTTGGCGTATTCGATCCAGAGCTCCTTACTTCTGATGCAGAATCGCGTTCCTCTCTGCATGTAACTCCTCGCCCCATTCATATCCGCCTCGGACTGCAGAGCCCACCGCGCCGCATAGAGCCAGAAGTCTGGGATCGTAGGATGTAATCTGATCGCAGATGTCAAAATCGTCTTGAATTTCTGTGTCGCCTTCGCTTCCCTGGCACATTCCAAATATGACATCCACAATGCGACATCATACTTGTGCCTTTCTGTGCCTCGATCGAAGATCTTGTAGATTCGCGCCTGTCCAGAGAATGTCGAGCTTCCTTTAATTCGTAACCGCTTGCATCTCTTCAGTCGCAAATGTTCCAAACTCATTTCCCACGCCGCATATCTCGCAAAGTCCACTGGTGTTGAGCCTCGCCCACATATTTTGTGCTCGAAGTCGGATCTTTTCTTCACAAGTGTCCTGATTTCTTCCTGTGTCTGCATTAGAACTACGGTTCGGGAAGCCTTGGGCAGATTGGAGGGTGCCTACGTCGGTGAATATTTTCTTCTCTTTGAATTCCTGCAGCTGAGGAACAGCCTGTTCCATATGGAAACGTGCTTTGTCGCTGGGGCCTGACATTGTTGTGGATGTTTCTATGTGGTTGTAGTTCCAATTTGGAAAGTCGATTTTATTTTTGATGGTATGTTTTATTTTGCTTTACAAGAAATACTGCCAGCTTGACCGCCTTGGAGGCTCCAAGATAGAGGTGTACTTTGTACCTTAAAAGTTGCCGCCCGCCGGCTCTACCAACCGGAGTGAAGCCACCTAGGCTGAAAGTAGACAGCTATCTACGGAGTGGAGTATCGTACCTTTTAGAAATCTACCCAGGCTCGCGAGGTACCAACTCCACAACCAGTTTCTCTCGCGTTAATCGCTCTGCCCTTCACTTTTCTCCTCGCCGGATGGTTCGGATGACATTCTCTTGGGTGTGAATATCCTCTCCAAATACCATGGCACCCAAATTCAAGGACGGCGACGTTGTTCTCGCATTCTCTGGCAAATGGGTGTCCTGGGCGCATACTGCAGCTGCTTACAGTACGTGAACGCGCCATGACACCACCAATGATTTTGGCCCTGCTAACAACAAGCCTAGGTGCCTTCCTCAGTGCGCTCATCGTCGGCGTTGCGCTGCATTACCACAAAATCGTCGAAAATGAATACTATGGATATCCTGACGAGTGGTTCCCCTCGGTCTCGGCAACAATTGGGGACCGGTACCCCGAACGCTCATCTTTTATGTTGTTTATAGCTATAACATCAGGTATGGAATGCAAAACACGCAGCAAAACTCCGCGACTGACGGGCTGCAGGTCCGCGTTTTGCTCTCGTAGGCTTGTGGTACCTCCTCACGGCTCGACCTAACTCGAATCTCCCTAAGTTCGTTGCTGGTATGGGCGTATTCAGAACTCTTACATGCGGCGGCTGGACATATGTCACTTCAACGGATGATCACGATTGGCACGACATTTTTATGATATCTTATTTGGTTGCAACACTGCCTTGGACTTTGGGGTGCCTGGCCTTAAGTCCTGATAACCCAAGGGCTATAAAATACCGCAAATATCTTGCAGGAGCTTTCTTCGGTACCCTTGTGCCTCTGATATACTTCTTCATCCAACACAAAGTCCACAAAGTTGCCGGAGGTAAGATTCGCCTCAACTGATTCTTGAATTATAGTCTAAACTTGCAATAGCATACACAATTTACGCGTTCTTTGAATGGGCTTTAATTTTGTTTGATGTGGCGTTTGATTCTGTCACAGCTCTCGATTTTGAGACTTTTGAGTTGGTAGTCAGGGATGTGAAAGGCTCAAGCAAGGGGTATGTTCATTGGCTTCCGAAGTAGTCCGTGTACAATATTTATCGGAGCGAAAGTACAGTAAAAGAACACTTCTAAATATGGCCGTAGAAAAAGCAAACTGGTGGTCGAAAAAATTCTTCAAGACGAGTATGTGATCTTGCTAACATTCATGAAATCTTGCTAACTCTTCCCCAGAAAAGATCATCAAGTCGCCCAAGTATTTGGTCAGACATTCTCGTTTAGCGAAGCCATCGACGCGGTGGCTGATGTATACAATGGCGTAAGCTGGGTATCTTTTTGGCCCTAATTATTTCTAACAAATTTGCAGTTCGTGTTCTGGTCAATGTTGACCTCACTGGGTGTTCTCGTGTGGTGTAAGTGTGCTGGCTCGTCCCTATATCATCTACTAATATCAATAGATTTCCCCTTATGGCATATGGGCATCTCAGGCTACGAAGCTTTCGTCATGGTGACGGTCTCTCCATCTCTACTTGCCATTCGGTCCCTGCGGTTGCTAGTAGTGAAGAACCTTCGCATGTGTCACTTACTTTCACTCGTTGGATTGTTAGCATATCAGATTAATGATCCGGCTACTCGATTGTTCACTGTTGGATTCGCTGTGTGGATGTCCTGCTTGTCATGGGCTGCGACCTGGTATTCGGAAGGCGGTCAGCCAGCTCGCCTGGAGTCAAAGATTTCTGCATGGACCGTTGGTCTGATTGCATCTAGTGCTATCAAATTTGCGTGGCAGACTAGTAACCCTATCTGGCCAACATCGCACTCTGAAAACGGTGGCCACAATGGTCTTGGTTTTATCCTCGCGCTTCTAGCTGTCCTGCGATCCACACGACAGACTCCACTCACCAGCAATGACCTCGCCATCCAAGGACGGAAAGAAGGCTCATCCCTCCTCGCTGGCTTGGGTATCGGAGGTCTTTTCTTCGGTCTGCACTCGCTGCTGTCAGACTCCAGTACCATGATTTTATGGAATTGGGAGGGATTCCCTGTCCAAGGACCTATTTCAGCACCTCACGGCGCTGTTACAATTGCTGCTATGGTCGGTGGCCTACTGATTGGACTGTTTAATGATACCTTGGCTCGAGGCTGGACATTATATGGCCTAGGTTGCATTGGTGCTGCAATTCTCACCACTGCTACCAACTGGACTGGCTATTATGGAGGTCTGGCTTTGGCCGCATATCTCATGGCAGCATCGGTACCCTTGATTGGCTCTGCCGCGAGAAAAAGCCCAGCTGTTACATTTGGCTTCGGTTTCCTAGTTTACAATTTCATGGTCTTATTCCATGTATGGGTAGTGGCCTATGCTTTCGTACCCGGCGGTCCTCTCGTCCGAGAACGCACCGACTGGGTCATGCTAGCTACCATGCTTCTCATCGGTTGTGGGGTCTTCACATCGGTCTCCTCTACTCCGGCTGCACAGCGCAAGCGCTTCAATGCGTACCTAAATTCTCGGAAACAGCGATCCTATTACATTTACATACTCGGTGCGATTCAGCTGTTTTCTGTCGCAATCGCGTACCTCAGATTTCCGACCTATGACTACGTCCCCTATCACAAGGATGACAAAATTCTTACTGCCGGAATCTGGACTATTCATTTCTCCATCGACGATGAGGGCTATTCATCAGAATATCGTATGCGAGATCTGATCAAGGAGCTTGAAATTGATGTTATTGGACTCCTAGAGTCTGATCTTCAACGTATCATCATGGGTAATCGTGATACTACGCAGTTCCTCGCGGAAGACTTGGGAATGTATGTTGACTATGGACCTGGCCCTAACAAGCATACTTGGGGCGCAGCTCTCTTGTCGAAGTTTCCTATTGTCAACTCAACCCATCACCTCCTTCCTTCACCAGTAGGCGAATTGGCTCCAGCGATTGAGGCAACACTAGATGTCTATGGTGAGATGATCGACGTCTTCGTCTTCCATTCTGGGCAAGAAGAAGATCCGGAGGACAGGAGACTCCAATCCGAATACCTATCCAAGCTCATGGGCGCATCACCCCGCCCATCTATCCTCCTTTCTTACCTCGTTACTAGGCCATTGGAGGGCAATTATAACACGTACGTATCGAATGTAAGCGGCATGCATGATATTGATCCCTCAGATTGGGATAGATGGTGCGAATACATCCTCTACAAAGGCCTCAAGAGAACCGGATACGCAAGAGTCTCAAGACACACAATCACAGACACAGAACTTCAAGTCGGGAAGTTCCTCATTGGCGAGAAAGAACCCAAGACAGCAAAAGCCCGCAATGCGCTTATAAAGGAAGCCCAAGTCCCTGAAGGAAGGCGCTTCCCGCAATTGTTCCGCGGTGAGGGGGTTAGAGGGCATAAGTATCACGTCTTTGACGAGCCAAGATATTATGCCTAATCCTCTATTTGAACAGTTTCCTTTGTTGGACGGCGGTAAAACGGGTATATGGGAAACGTACTAATGTTTGCATGAATTTATTGCTAGGGAAGAGGAAGGAATGGGGCAAGGGGGTTTGTAAGATGGTCTAATGACACTGGGGTGGGAGTGTTGATTTAGCGTACCTGGCATTGACTGGCTCAAAGGCCCCAACCATCCAAATATTATCCAATATCATCTGACTTGTATACCTTCCTCCTGTGGTCCATCAGGGTTTCTTATGATGATAGGGTTGGGGTCATGTTACCTGACTTACTTTTTATTATCATGTGTACAAGTCAACATCCCTACGCTAGACACTACCCCTGACTTAGAAGTTTCCGCATTAATATTTCAGGCCACTCGCTGCCACCCTTCGTGGTTCTATTCCCGACTTAAAATATAATAATTTAAGACGATCTATAAAAGGATACTCAGTCAGGAAATGTCTTACACCATCATGTGATTCTTATGCAAGGCTACGGTCTCAGCTGCTTATCGCGCGCGTTGCCTTGCCGATGACGGCACGGGGAGCTCCACTCGAGCCAACTGCTCTCTCTCTCTCTCTCTCTCTCTCTCCTCTCCTCTCCTAAGATCCAAGCAATCCAACAAATCCAGCAAAATGAAAGCACTCTCTATTATTCCTCTTGCCACGCTCGCAACGTCTTCTGCGCTCCAGCAATATCTCCATGAAGCTTCCCACTCTCAGGCCTCCCTCAGCTCTGGCTCGAAGCCACTAGTAGACTCGAAAGCTCTACAAGACCACATTACTTCTGACAACCTCTTGAAACGTGCTAACAAGCTGTTCGAAATTGCTCAACTTGGAGTTGAAGAATATAACCATCCAACGAGGGTGATCGGTAGCGACGGTATTTAGCTTCAACACCATCTTTCGGTGCCTTTGCTAACATCCATGTTGCACAGGCCACGTCGGAACACTCGATTACATATACTCTACACTTGCCGGGTTGGGCGATTACTATGAATTATCAAATCAGAGCTTTGAGGCTGTGGTTGGGAATATCTTCGAATCACGTTTGGTTTTGGGGGATGGAGAGCCAAAGTCAGCTACGCCTATGTCCCTAACTCCTCCAACAAAGAACAAGGACGCTGTATTCGGACCGTTGGTGTTGGTAGCTAATGAGGGCTGCGATGCCTCAGACTACCCATCCAATACCACTGGCTCGATCGCCCTGATTAAGAGAGGTGTTTGTGCATTTGGAGACAAGTCTGCTGCAGCTGGAAAGGCTGGTGCTATAGCTGCCGTTGTTTATAACAGCGAGAAGGGTTCGCTCTCGGGAACTTTGGGAGAGCCCTCGAAATATCATGTTGCTACGTTTGGGCTTTCGAACGAAGATGCCCAACAATTCATCAAGAAGTTGCAGGATGGGAAGCTTATTCCTTCCTCGGCTTACATCGACTCCATTGTGCACAAGGCTCCGACGACCAACATCATTGCACAGACAAAGGGGGGAGACCAGGACAACTGCGTCATGTTAGGAGGACATAGTGATAGTGTTGCAGAAGGGCCTGGCATCAATGATGATGGTTCCGGCTCTATATCACTGCTCGAAGTAGCCACTCATCTGGTCAACTACAGCGTGCAGAATTGCGTTCGATTTGCTTGGTGGGCTGGCGAAGAAGAAGGGCTTCTAGGCTCCGATTATTACGTCTCTCAACTGTCTGAGAAGGAGAACTTGAAAATCCGACTCTTCATGGACTATGACATGATGGCCTCTCCCAATTACGCTTATCAGGTCTACAATGCCACCAACGCGCTCAATCCTACTGGATCGGAAGAGCTCAGAGACTTGTACATTGATTTCTACAAGTCTCACAACCAAAATTACACTTTCATTCCTTTTGATGGACGAAGTGACTATGATGCTTTTATCAAAAACGGAATCCCTGGTGGTGGTATAGCAACGGGAGCAGAGGGTATCAAGACGAAAGACGAAGTAGAGATGTTTGGTGGAAGTGCGGGTCAATGGTATGACCCATGCTATCATCAATTATGTGATACTGTGGATAATTGCAATCTTGACGCTTGGGAAATCAACACCAAGGTATGACCATTCTTCGTCGCTTTTGCTTCTTGTGCTAATATGCAGCAGCTTATTGCCCATTCGGTTGCAACTTATGCCGTATCTTTCAAGGGATTCCCTGAGCGGACTGGCGTTTCAAGTAACGCACAGGGAGAGAAATCCCTTTATCACGGACCGAAGCTCGTGATGTGATGAAGTTACAACGCTTCTATATACCATGTGTATATCACCAGGAAATACCACTGGTTCTTATTATAGACAATTAACATAATACCCCGCAAGCCTGATCATTTACCTATAGTTCATTGTTTCTATTGCTCGTGAAAGTTTTTGATTCTTTTACCTTTTGTATTCGGCGGCAGGTGCGCAGGGGCCGCTGAATCCTTTCAGGATTTCCAGCACAGGTAATTAGTGACGGAGAATCGTTTGATGGCTTTAGGGTTGTCTAGGTGAGTCCTCAAGTAGTTAAAGAGAGGTCCCTCCTGACTCCTAAAAGGGTTTGAGCCCATTGATCATCACTACGCCTATTCTATTCGAAACTTCTCTTGTCCTTTTCCTTTAGGATTGCCATACCTACTTTACACGTTCTCTCTAAAGCTCGAACCCGAACACGAAATCGAGAAGCCTTTCTCGGGGAATGACTCAATGATCAATGATCACGTGAACCAGTAATAAGTATTTATAAACACGGCTTGTAATTAGCAATCAACTTTTAATACCAACCTCCCTCCTTTCTTTATCTATTTCTCCCAAACTCTCAATCCAATCACACAAAATGAAACTCGAATTCACCACCCTCGACGTATTCTCTAGCACTCGCTACGCCGGGAACCCGGTAGCGATCATCTCGGTCCCCGCATCCGCCAAAGCCAGCCTCACGCAAACGCAAAAGCAACGCATAGCCTCAGAATTCAACCTCTCGGAAATCGTCTTCCTACACCTGCCCACTTCTTCCGATTCCCAGGAACGGCATATCGACATCTTCACTTCCCACGCCGAGGTGCCGTTCGCAGGCCACCCCACTATCGGCACCTCGCACTACCTGCTGCACACCACCAAGCAGGACGTAACCGCATTGATCACCAAAGCAGGTCGGATAGGAATAGAACTCGATCCTGAGACGCAGAATGTGAAAGCGGAGATCCCGCATGATTTCCATAGACATGTCGTCACGTGGACGACCCCCCTTAACGACCTCGCGAATCCGACATGCAGTATCGTGAACGGGATGTCGTTTATCATGGTCCAAGTACGTCTCCCCAATCCTAATCCTAATCCCAAGCCCAATCCCACCTCGTATTCTCTAACCAAATGGGAAAAAAAAATCCTCCCCTGACCAATATCCCCCTCTCAGCTCCCCACCCTCGCAGCCCTCGCGCTCGCAAAGAGCAATCTCGCAGGCTACACTTACGACACGACGCCCCTAGATGCGGGCTGGCAGAATGGCCTCATCGCCACCATGTACTTCGTATCGCAGGGCACTGATGCGCTCGGTCGTAGGAAGTACCGGACGCGTATGTTTGGCACGCGAGAGGATCCCGGGACGGGCAGCGCGAGTAGTGCGTTGGGGTGTTTGCTGACGGCTGGTGGGGGGAAGGAGAGGTTTGTGTTTGAGCAGGGCGTGGAGATGGGGAGAAGGAATGTTATTGAGGTTGAGGTTGTGAGGGGGGGAGAGGGGGGTCAGGAGGGTTGTGCTTGGTGGGGCTGCCGTGGAGGTTATGCAGGGGAACTTGGAGGTTTGAATGGGAGTTATGGGAGAAAAGAATAGGACGGAACGGGTAGATAACTTCTGATGTTCAACTCATCGGATTCAAGCGAGCCCTTTTTCGAAAAAGTATTTAGTGATTAGTTTTTGCAAAAGTATCTTTTTCAAATCCTTTCCCAACAAAAACATGGAGAGCAAGCGGAAATTGTCACCCGTTTCGAGCACTTCAAGCCTAGATTCCTAAGAAGAGATTTTGAGAAGTAACAATACACATCAGCATAGTACTCAAGCCTCAAGATTTGGTTGTACGAGATACCCATGCATGTACAAAGTATGCTTGCATGCCTCTGAACAAGGCGCATATATCGCGGCTCTAGCCTTAGACAATTATGCCATACCTACTTCAAGGGTCCTCGTGATAGACCTCTCTACCAGCTCCACAACATCTGCATTTGTTGACAAATCGATCTCCATGCAAGAGAAAATCTTCAGGGAGTTTTCTTTTCCCCGGATGTTTCCCGAGTATAGCTAGAGTGACCTCCACTAGCCCCAAAGTCTTTTCCATACCACGCCTCTTATACCATTTGTTCAAGCCTTTGGAAAGCTTTGGACTAAGGGTGGTGGCCCATTCGTATACTCGATCAAACAAGTGTCGCCTCTCTGATATCGATGTAGATTCCAATAGTCGAGATCTACAAGAACGGCCGTAGAAGTCTGGAGCTTGTTCTTATATTGCGTCAAAGAGCGAGGCAAGAAGTTCAAAAAGTGCGAAAGTGTGAAGTCGCATGCACAGCCTTAATCCGCATGCAGGCCACATCATGAGACATGCCGAGAAGCCTTGGGGTTAGCCTCGTCATGTCGTGTAATGAGCAAAGAAATAAAGTAGGACAGGTAGACGAGTATCAAGATTGAGTAATCTGATTTTCGGAAAAAGGGTTGTCAGAAGTTTGAAGCATAGCCGGGGGGAGGGCTAGCGACTGATGACTAGACTCAAAGCGCCTTTAGTAGAAAGGGCGATGGGGTTACAATAAGGCAGGCGCAACCGTGCCAAAAATCTAGCCTTCAATATGGAGCACTAAAAGTCAGTTCCAAATGCACCAGAGGAGGTTCGATGTACATCATTGGTCTTCGCCTTTTGAAGTTTGATCTCTATACAGACTTTTGTTCTCAGTTTCACATCGGAGAGGTGGCTTAAGTAACGTGACTCGGATATTGCTGGGCACAGCTTCCTCTGGGTCTTTTGCCATATGTGATTCGAAATAGTAAGACCGTATAACCTTTTAGAATTGAGGATCGTGCTTCCTTTAAGGGAAGCGCTGACTAGGCTTATGACTAAAGCACGTACGTGGCCAAGGCATGTGATACAAAATGACACATGTTCGGTGCAGGACATTCGCTAGCATAGCGCCAAAGAGCTGATTGCAAGTATGCTTAGGGACCTAAAGTGTGACTGTCGCGCTCCCTTGAATGAGGAGGCAGGTAGTAAATCTCTAAGTACAAAGAGAAGGATGGTGGGAGGGAAAATGAGTGTTTTCGTACGAATCAACACTCATAAAACACAACACTCGTAAATATTGTAGTCCGTAATCTTTCCAGCATTTCAGAAAAGCAGAATGCGAAAACCTGAGTTTAGTGAAAGGCTTTCACCGTAAATATTCCAGAGAAATTGAAAGAGTCTAAGAAAAGAATGAAAAACGGCGATGCCGTGAATGAACATTCTCGCCGACCATAAAAGTTATATTTCCAATTTCCAAGACCGCAAAACACGAATGAGGGTAAAATAGATATCAACGCTGCAAAGAAATAATGCCAAGATCAAAAACGTTCAGGGGCAGGTCGAATAGCCAGCGGACCATGTCTCTCAACGAATAGAAAGCCGTCGACCTCAGGCGTCCCTTCTGGAGTACTTAAACGCGACCATTCCGAATCTGTTGAACTTGCGTCCTGACCATGCATCCCAATAGCATCCGGCGCCTGAATGTCGTATTGCCAATCGCCTGTGTTCAACATCTCCGCGTCCTCTATGCGGATGATTTCTGGAGACTCATTTATGCGCTGCTTTGGTGCGGGCCCATCTTCTTTCGTCAAGTCAATCACTACTGCAGGCTTAGTGTTATTTGAAGGTTGAGATTGCTGTACGCGCTGCAACTCTTGGGCGTAGGCCCCGAGAGAATGATTGGGGCGGCAAGCCGGGCAGGTCGTACAGCCGCATGTCGGATTCGTACGTTGCCGCATGGAATTAGTGGTGTGGACCGGAAGGGCTGACGCGAAGGAATTCTGATGGGCTGCTTGACCTTCTCCGGAAGGAGTTTGATTGAAGGGACGATCGAAGGGAGATGACCCTATCTGCTGCGGGTGACTAAGTCCTTGGGAGTTCTTAACAGCGCCTTCTCTGGTCCCCTCCAGGGAAGAAGATTCAATTTCCTTGCCCTGCGATTTGGTCTGGCTTAGCATACGCTTTTTGCATTGCTGTTCTAACAGCAATAACTGAATCTGGTAGGCTTGGAGTGAAGGGGTTGGAAGAGCCTGCTGATGCGCCAGTGCCTCTGCGGCCGTCATTGGCTTGTAGCCACAAGGGTTTTGAGCTTGGACTGGATTGCTGCAGCATTGCGGCGCCGCCTCTTTGGCGGTAGTCTTGCGAGATGTTTCATCTAGCTTTGGTCTGAAATTCTGAAAGTCAGCGATACTTGATTCCGAATGATCTAAAGTTGGGGGTATTTCGTCAACGTCTCGGATTTTTGGAGACATTGAAAAAATACCAAGACCTATTCGATCAGGATAATAAAAGACTTCGACAACTGCTTACCTGCTACATTGTTGTGGCTGCCCCATTGGGGCTACCATCGCCCTCTTCTCACCCCGCTGCTTGGAGCCATTTGCTGGTGAAGGTTGTCTTGCTACCATAGGCTTCTTCCTTTCTTGGTCTAGGTACATCAAATGCCTCTGATATTCCTGTAGATCTATTTCCTGAGTAGGCGGTTGCTCGGTCTGTACGACACTAGCAAGTCGCTTCTGGTCTTGTTCGTTGCGAAGATTCAACTTGAATTGAAAATTTTGCCGAGCCGCAGACTCATTTGGGGATCGGTAAGCAGCTTGCTTTGCCAAGTCTTGTGACCGAAGTTGATGAGCATGTTGCTGCTTCAGCAAGGCCTGTGCCCGAAGTTGTTCCTGGTAGGTCTTGATAACAGTAGGAGCCGCTTCCTTTTTGACATTTTCTTGCTTCTCCTGACATCCCCATACCTGATTATATTTTTGCTTCACCATATAATCAAGCATGACCCGTTCCGTGTGGCTTGGGGTAGCATTCGGAGTTAGTCCGAGATGGGATTTGGCTTGTACTTCCCAACCAATCCATAATTGTGGCTCTCGAGGCTCTTGGGTTTTCAGATCCCTACCTATATGGCAAGAATCTTGCTCCCCTGGGTCGACACTTGGGATAGGGGGAAGCGAATTCATGATATGCTGTTCTCGGCTCGGAGCTTGCTCAAACCGCCTGTTCGTATCAGACTCTTGTCTTGCCATCATGAGTCGCTTCTTATTCTGGTGTTCGAGAAGCATCAGCTGCATCTGATAGTCTTGTTGCTGACGTTTAGATATCCCCTGCTGCCGGAGGTCATCACGTTGTTGTTGTTGACGAATGGAGCCCATCTCATAAATGTATGGTTGGAATGGAGGTACAGTGACTTGAAATTGTGACTCAAATGCCTCCTGTGGAAGGACTTTCTCGCTCCGGGGGGGTTGAGGCTGAACGGGACTCGAAGGCTCCGGATATCCAGGTTCAATCTTGACTTTTGCCTCAGACAAGGCTGAATATTCAACATCAATCATGGAGTCATCGGAAGCCATAGCTACGTAATCGGTACTTTTGGATGGCGATTGACTTTGAAGAGCTGACCACGAAGATTTTATTGATATTGGTGAGATATTCTTCGGTTGGTTGAAGATATAATAACGAGTCAAGTGATGTTGACAGCCTGATCATTGGTTAGTGAAAGATCCCTGATAAACTCAAAAGCAACACTTACAAATGATTTTGGATTTATTGACGTGACTGTTAGATTCTATTGAAAACAGAGGGAAGTGAGATATTTAAGGGAGGAGGGTGGAGATGAGACAAGGTCCGCTGTTAAGTTGTTCATGATACAGGGATACACAGATGCCTCATGGCTGCAAAACCAACTAGGAACTAGCGCTGCCGCCTCACCAGTGGTATGCCTTTTTAGGACATGCGCAGTACGCTTATTTAGCACTGCGTGGTATGCTGATTTGGGACATGCATGCATGCGAGGCATGTTCACTTGTTCATCTGTTCAGCCACTTGCCGCCTCAGGGGTTCAATAGAACGAATAGAACGACCAATTGGAAAACGAATGGACTTCCCGAAAAGAATTCTTGCAGGGCGGCAGAGTCGTAGCCCACGTGATCGAAAGACTGGCCCTTGAAAATTCAACGCTGTTGCATTGCTTGTCTGCCGTGAGAAGATACATTTATTTTCTTTTTCGGCCAGCTTGACGCAATTCCAGGACTTCCATGAGGCAATGTGAACGATTTTCTTAGAGTATGCTTGTCTGGATAGTCTAACCACAGTCGTACAACCAGAGCATTGTTGATTGAAGATGGACGAGATGAGGATATAAAAAGCTGATAAGGAACGCGGACGTGCAACGGATTGTCGTCGGCGCCTCGCTTCGTAACGCACCGTTATAACGCCGGCTTCCGCATGCACTCCACTTCGCGCCCCTGTTCGTAACCCCACCCAAACGAACAACAACAAAACAGACGCGTCACAAGGCTGGCTTTTTCTAAACACCAAATCCCGCGGGCGAAGGAATCATTATGGAAGTTTCATAATTTTGTATCATTCATCTGGTATAAGTACAAGCCATCCAGTAGTAGCCTCGCATCCACCCAGCCCATCCCATTCATTCCCGTCTAGCAATAGAACGTATGCCATTTTCATCATCCTGTACCAGAAAACGATAAAAATCCGGCCCATGAAGCTATCATCAAACAATAAAGCGAACTATCCCTAACAAAAATGACTACCATAAAACACAGAACGCGGCCCCCACACACACGTTATTTCCCAGCCCCAACGCCTTATAGACACCCTAAAAGAACCCAACCCGAAAACAAGCTTACGCCTTCTTAGGAGTTGCCTTCTTCTTTGGTGCCGCCTTCTTCGCCGCTGGTGCAGCCTTGGTCTTGGTAACACGCCCCGACTTGGTCTTGCCGATAACAGCCGGCTTGTCTACGACGGCAGGGGCCTATGGAACAATTAGATGCCATCATGTTTGCAATGGATGGAGAACTTACAGTCTTGGGAGCAGCGGCCTTCTTTGGTTTAGGAGCAGCCTTTGTCTTGGGAGCCGCCTTAGGCTTTGCAGCTGCCTTGGTAGTGGCAGCCTTCGGCTTCGCGGCAGCCTTGGCCTTGGTGGCAGCGGGCTTTGCCTTGGTTGTGGTGGCCTTCTTGGCGGCAGGTTTCTTCTCGACCTTTGCCTTCTCGGTCTTGGGCTTGGCAGCGGCCTTGGGCTCCTTCTTCGCGAGCTTGGTTCCACCAGAGCTTCCTGTATGAATCGTTAGACATTGGACTCGGATTGAGGTGCGCGACACGTACCCTTTGGCTGGGCGAAGACGCCCTTATCAACGCCAGACTTCAATGCGCGGTTGAACTGAGAGTCGAACATGGCTCCGTCGGCCTTGATCTTGTTGTTGGCCTTGACATACTTCTTGAGGGCGATGCGGCTAGTTCGGGTCAGTCAGATGGACTAGGTAAACAAACGACGCGTCGAATTGGAATCCGAAAATCGACCGCGCGTGAATAGATGAAGTCGTACCTTGAACCGTTACGCTGGAAGGTCAATGTCAGCAAGTAACCACGGTCTTATAGGGAGGTAAACATACATCCTTGAGATTAACGATAGCATCGGTGATCATATCTAAAATAACGCGTCAGAAACCCCTCTTTCATAAAATTTAAAGCTACCATCAGATGCGGAAGAGCTACGCGACCAAGATGCAATGCGCGCAATTTGGACGCGACGTTGTGGTGGGAGGATGTGAAGCTCACCTTGGTAGCTGGCATGGTCGGAAGTGGTGGCCTTGGCCTTGGATGCAGCAGCCTTAGGAGGCATCTTGAGGAATTGATTGAATATATTGGGATGATACAGATGATAAGATTGAATGCGAATTCGGATCCGAGAAGCTAGAGCCGAGATTGAATGGTCGTGGTTGTCGAAAGTCGTGGGTTGTCAGGTTGGGAGGGGAGGCGAAGGGAAGGAAATGCGCGACAGCTGCGGGGGGATGCTCTTATATGGCGGCAACAGCCATCGTCACTAGCGCAATCACTTGAGATAAAATTAAGCGAACAAGCTCAGAAAAGCGCAGGAAAAGCCAAAACTCAAACTCAAAAGAAGTCGCTGATTGGCTGCACAATGGATCAAAGAAGATCACACGCACGCTCCCAACCCAACTCCCTCTCAAGGTCTCTCCCACACCCACACCCACACCTCGATGATGCCGATGGATGCAAATGCCAACGCATTCCTCTGATCTGTCTCCAACCGCCGATTCCCCTCGATCATTTTGAGATGAAATCGATGTAAATAAACCCCCAATATCTTGCTTCTAGTGACTGCTATCCGAAAGTCTTTGAAAATCGGAAACAGTCGAGATGGAAAGACGACCGGCATTGATATTGTCAGTCTTCCAATCTCCCACCGTGTTTTATTGCTTATTAATTATTAATACCATCTATTTATCATGTATATATTTATTTCCAATGCACATATTAAAAAATACTCGAAGCGTTGGGGCTGCAAGTGCATAGAGGATGTGGCGTGTTTGCGACCGGTTTCTGAAGCCATCGCGAGTTTTGCAACCTCTACGATGAAAGTGCCATAACTCCCCACCACAACATTCTATCATCATAATTATACTGCCGAGAGTGTTTTTGACTGAAATACATTAAGTTTGAATAGTTCAATTTGATAAAATTCGTTTGCGTGGGCTTTGCTCGAGTTTCTCAAAAAAGTGGTGCAATTTGGGTTTTCGAATTGCGACCGAAGGCATCTTGCCGCAGTCAAAATTCCTACCACAAGAAACAACCCAGAAGACAAATCGATCTTATTATCACGCATCGCCCTTGAATCTGTTTCATCTCCAAGATATATAAAAGTACGTACGCATTGTTGCTTGAGAAGCATGAAGGTCGGTTGCCTTCACATTACCGCGTCGATTGGTCTACGAAGTCTAATACAACGAGCCAACGGCCCAGAGACGTCAAAGAAGACCTCAAAGTTTGCCTAGATTAATTATATCTATAGAACATCAAGACTTCGATGATAATTCGTATTTTCAGGACTTCTCCGATCAGAAAGCGGGGCATCATATTCGACCGGTCGCACAAGCAGTAAGGTCTTGTGACACGACGCAAATGCTTCAAGTTTCGATCATACACCCCAACACAGCCCAAATTGAGTCAATTTGAATGCTACGCCCTTTTCACAATATCAAGACAGATCCTGCTGGTATTCTCCTGCAACATCCGGCCTTTTTCTGTTGCTTGAGCTTGCCAGGGGAATACGGGTGGAGTCGTGCAACAAATCCACGGCGAGGCAGCGACTCAACGATCTAGGTAGAAGTGCACACATTGAATTAAGAAACCACAATATCTTTTCCAAATCCCTACACCACTCTGCCATAGATGCTACAGCAATCCTCTAGTCCAGCTTCTGGAATTTTCATCTCAAGAAGATACGGCGTAATTTCCTACCGAGATCTGCAGCTCACGACATCACATCCTCACGTAGACACGCAGCTCAGAGTCAGCACTCCATCTCAGCACCTCTGGCCCCCCTTTCTCAAAACGAACATTATCATTATCCTCCTCATCCCATACGTCTTCCAACCCACTCCAAGCAACACGGAGATCTTACGATCAATGCCTACCGGCATCCGAAACGCAAGTGCGACCGGGAGATTCCCCATACATGAGCCTAAATTCCCAACATTGTTTAATGCACGCACGCACGCACGCATGGGCATATCCATATCTGTCCACATACATGCGTAACGTGGTGTATCATTTCTGCTCCTGAATGGCGCGCCTATCGCTATTGTACCTATATAAGCAGAGTTTCTAGTAGAAGTCAAATGGGCACTTGGCGCTGCTGGTTGCTTCATTATGTGCCGGTATGATAGTGCGTGATCAACAGGTTTGTACTGAGTTTCTCCATCAAGGAGGTTACTAAACATGTAGAATGATAAGGCCTGATATGCTCTGACATTTCTACATTAGTATGCGAAGCTCGGGGGGGTCTGAAATGCCTCGCGAGTCATTTCTCGACAGGCATTCTGGACTGCAATTAAGCTCTTATAAGCTTCTCGGTGGCTTTCCCGGTCAGTTTTAAAGCAGCTTTGTAATAAGAGTTGAAAAGGTTGGAATTTACTTGTATAACATTCATGGGGGGTTTTCCCCCTCACGGTTGGACATTCTTCGCATTGAGAGCCTAATCTTATACATCTCGCCTACCTTAGCCGTATAGGAGAGCGCTTGACTATAATAATTACATGACTTCTCTCTATGTCCAAAGTCTGTCTCACACGCATCTTCAAATATTAAAGGATCTAGCTGACTCCCTCGGCCATCTCTTCCTAATACATGCCAATTCCATCATTTTACTTCCCCTAAGCTCAGAAACCCCTTCAAACCTGCTTCGTCCTATCCTGTACCCCCTTCTTCCCCCCATTTCCCTTCACCTTCCTTTTCTTAACAAAACTACTCGGCACCACCGGCGTCTCCTTAACACACCTCTCACACCTACACGCCCCACCCAACGCCCTAAGCAACTCCTTCTCCCGATCCTCCACCTTGCTCCCCTCCTTCAAAACCCCTCCCGCACAATACCCAACAAACACCTCCTCCCCCTTTTCAATATCCTTCTTCGCCACAACCTCAACCTGCGGCGCGCACTTGGCCCTTACCATCGCATTCGGCGCACAGCTATGGTTAAACCAATAACTAACCGGATTCACCGCATGATGCGGAGCTTCCACGACGGGGTTCTGCACGTGGTGGTGCTGCACGCGGTTCCAGAGCGCGAGGATCACCCAGGTGTCCCACGCGTGGTTTTCGAAGATGTTTATGCCGAGCGCGGTGAGCATTGTCATGGGGCCTTTGATCAGACCGTGTAGTGTGAAGTCGAGTTCGCCCGTTGTGGCGGGTTGGAGTTGTGCGATGTGGGGGTTGGTGAAGGGGCTGTTGTGGGATAGTAGTAGGGTTGAGGCTATGTAGCGGGTTAGGTAAATCGGGATGTGGTCTAGAAGAAAGTCAGCAAGATGAAATAAGAGTCGTTGACGGGGATTGGGATATTGAAGTAGGAAGCTTCGATACGTACCGGGATACCTGAATGCAGGATGGGCGAGCTCATCATAGCTGCGAGCAGGGTGGTCACCTTCCCATGACAGAACCATTTCTAGTTCAGTGTTAAACTCACCAAGACCCAGACCCTCCTCTTTCCCTCCATAAAGACAATCTGCTGCCGAGATCATTTCGTCAAAGTTCTTGCGACACAGGCGATCATGGTAGTACTTCTTAGCAATCTGCTTGCACTTGATACTACAGAAATTTAAGCCACAGCATTTGAATGAAGCCACAGAAAGGTCATCGCAATCATTCCAATCTCTCATACAGTTATAGCAAACCTCGCGACCTTGCTCGATGCACGTGGCGTAGATATTGTTCGCTCTCAAGATAGTGTCTCCAGACCGAATCTTCTTCGTCGCAAACAAACCATGAGAGTTGGCCAGAAGTTTGGATTCCGCCGGCGGATCCCAAGATGGCGATCTGCTGAGTTCCAGGACCTGAGAGCAAGCCTTGACTTCTTTCTTCGCAGCCTCCATCACCGTATCACTCCTAGCATAGTTTTCCTTCGGCTCCCAAGGATAAACTCGCATTCGAATCTTCCCGTAGTTCAGGTATGTCTTTTGCTCGAAAAAGGTTCTCTTGTTGTTAGTCTTGAAGCTTTCGATATCGTTGTCGACAGCTTCTTGGGCTTTGTTAAGCATTTCGTTCATCAGGTCGTCGGAGTTATAGATGCTGATGGCTTCATGGAGAACGGCGATGTGGTCGTAGTGGCCGCATAATGCTTTTGCTGCAAATGCTAGAAGGTATAATCTGAGAATAGGTCAGCACCTGAACAAGACAAAAGTTTCACTCAAGGTCACCCAAGGACAGTGTGTGGTGATGGTACTTACGCTTGCCGACAACCCTCCCGAACCCGCGCTTTAATGATAGCTCGGAACTCCTCCTGTCCCATGTCTTCTCTAGGCTTCTTCTTGATATAGTAGTTTAATCCATTCCAGAGCCGGGCCCTTTCGCCAAGCCCCTGAGGATCATGCTTGTCGTAGTCTAGAGCTGACATGCAAAGCAAGAACGCTTTGTACGCGTCCCCTGCTGCCAGCTCTGGGAATCCTAGGTTGAAAAGAGCGCTTGATCGTTCTGACCAGAATCCGAAGGCGTAAGGGCACCGCTTGATATTCTTTGTCGCGTTGATGAGCTTGGAGCGAAAGCTTTCTACTTCCTGCGAAGATTCGTCAGTAGGAGTATACTTCCGGAGCGTTATCGGACGATGTAAGAAGTACCTTTTTCGTTTTGATCATATGGTGGCCAGCATCCTGTATGTAAGGATCAGTAAATGTGTTCACGCGTTGAAGTTAGATGGACCCCAAGACTAGATTGCTTTGGAATGGCACTTTACATACGGCATCACGCTTCGATTCTGATACCTCACCGGTGCCTAATGCGGTTGGCTGCCACCTACTAAAGTCCCAATTTGTGTCCATGATAATGCGCGTTATCTGAGCTGTCGAACGAAGGTTTTGCAGGCAAAGAGGCGATGTTTAACACCACACAGGTTGATGATAACAACGTAAGAAAATGGATAGAGAGAAGAGTAGCCCTCAGTCATGTAAGAATTTGGCAAAAGCAAGTAGGTGATAGATGACAAGGGCTCAAAGTAGGGCGAAGCAGTAAATATGGTGGAAGAAAAATTTGTAGGTTGTTTATATAAGAGATGGGAGGCAACCAAATCCCAGCAACCGACATCAAGTGAATTTCTATTGGACGCAAGCCCGGTAACTTCTCAATCCAGGACGGTCTGAATTCTGCCAAGCGGTGCGAGAAGTTATTCTGATGCCGTGAGGAACAACAAGTAGAACATAAGAACAGAAGCCCGAATTTGACAGGCAGGCTTGGTCCTTTGGTTGAACGCAGACATTGGGCTCTAACCTCGAGAGTAGCGATATGTAACAGCCCAAACACACTTTCATTGTCTTCCATCTTGCGCAAATCACACTTCCCAGATTCTTTCCTTGCGCTCTATACTTTGCCCATAGCAGTCTCATCCATCAAACAAGATACCCCTCAAATGGCATACTCGGAAATTCTTGACGAGAATACATATACACACCCGATCCCTTCGAGTTAGGCTAGAAGTCACCACCACCACCACCTCCCCCACCACTCCTGGCCCTTTTCTTATCTCCGTGCTGCTTCTTCATCCTCAGCCTCGCAAGATTATCCGACTTTTTCCTAGAATCAAATGTAGTTAGCCAGTGTACACTAAGTCGAGTAGGTGGCAGCACCAGCAATTTCAGTGCGAGTTGTGTGGAGTATGCATGTGTTGCATTTGGTGCTTTATCTATTTCATTGGTTTCCCGCGGTCGCTTTCTTTGTTGGTTCTTTTACGCTCCTGATGCTTTTTACCCTTTTCTTGCGTGATAATTGAAAACGCGGTTTTCTTTTTCATATTTTTCAGGCGTTGTCTCTCAAGCTTATGTTGAGAGCGAGATACCTGACGATTAGGATTATAACCGACACATGACTTCAAGCTGCCCAGCCTACAAAATGAGGTGGTAAACTTCTGCAGAAGCGCAAGAGCACACTTTAAATTATGAAATTGCGAATACTTACAAGTCGTCGACTTTCTTTTTCTGTTCCGGATCTGTGGTACCAGGGACGGTTTTCTTGTATAGTCTGGAGAGTTCTTCGAAGAGTCTTTTGTGTGTCTCACTCGTATTCTTTGTTTTATTTCGGTGAGTGGCGCATTGGATGGATATAGTGTTGGATCTTCTCGCGAAGTATCTGCTGCCCCGCAGCTCTTCGTGAAGAACCTTTGGAACATAGCGAGTGAGGGTATCGAACTCCCAGGTAGTCGTTGCCTTCGAATCTGTACTTTGATGATATTAGAAAGATCCTCGCTAATATTCCATTCCACCCATAGACCTACTTGTTGGCGAGCTGTCCACCGGGGCCTCCTGGACGTGAGCCAGTGGTCGTGGAGATCCTTGTTGGTATGGTGGACTGATTGAAATCACGAAACCAAGCGCGAGCAGCTTCAAGATCTGCCTCCTCACTTTCACTTCGAGGGCGAGACGAAAAGGTCCTGCGTTTCTGAAGAAAATCAAACTGCCCTCGGAGAGGAGCCGAACAAATCGTTTTCAAGGAGTGAGATTGAAGCATGATGGAGATTGACGGGCACGAGAATGCTCGAGTTGTGGCTTGTATTCTGAATGACCAACCAACGTGTGTACAATGCAACTGTTCAAGAATGGATACTGTACGGGAGGGCACAGGAAGGAGCAGCTCAAGCTTTTAAGTAAACCCCCCAACTGCTTGATTATTCTGCCTATCTGCTTGAGACAAACAAGGACAGGCTACAAGACACCCCGCGCTTAAGGCGGGGAGCAGGTATATTGTGGCCTGTCAACTGTGACTGTGATGCACCAATACGGACGGAGTAATGAAGACAGGGAACGCAGTCTTGTAGGTACAGATGCAGCCACGCATGTTGGTGCAACGACAACCGCAACATGCTGCTTGCGGTTAAATTTGAGTGGATGACTAAGCGTGCACGCCACCAAAATCTCACTTTCAAGCTAATCCATACTAGGTAGCGTAGCCTAGCCCTATCTTAGTAATTAAGGTAGGGTAGTACTCGCAGCCGCAGCCTCTTTCTTTCCGTACTCGCTTTCGCACCTTCACCAGAATCAATCACTTCCTCAGCTCGAGTGCTACCAGTCTAGAATACAAGACATTCAAATCTACACCTTCACCGAGTCACTCTCTCACTCACCCACTCACCCAACCACCAAAGAATGCCGACTTCTCGATAGTCCGCACATACATCCATTCGCTTGCCCCGACCTGCATCCATCCCACCTTCCCACCCTCTATATTTTCCCTCACTTGCGATACCTACATACCGCATCCACCCGTCTGAGAATCTTGAACACACAACCCAACCCAACCCACCCCATTACCACCTGTTATCCTTTGTCGTAAACCTCGACCTCTGCTTATCATTTTGATGACTTGCCCATTTTTCTCCATGATCTGAGTCCGAGGCATTCATGACCAACGAGGCTCCCGATTCCGTACAAAGACCTTGTCTCCCATATCCCCTCTCCCAGTCCATCCTCCCGAACCCTCGAATATCCCAGTCCTGCAGAACCAGATCGACCCGGTTTTCAATATGACTTCGACGCATATTGACAATGCCCCACCCCACTCTCTTGTAACTGCCCCGGCAGACTCCTCCCAGCCAACTATCCCGGAGAATTCAGATGTACGCTCTCCTTCCGCCGACTCAAGCTTCTCAGACGCATACAAAGAGCAGCCTGCCAAGGATCAAGGCAAAGACGAGAATGTCAAGGGAGGCGACCAAGGCAGAGAAATCACCGATGACTATGCAATGACATTTGATTCCGACGGAGAAGAACGTACGAGTAGTCAAGATTTATCACAAGCAAACATTGAGCAGACGGCAGAGTCTCTGCCTGTTACCATCCCAGCGACCAAATTGCCTCCCTCTGTTGCCCACGAGCTTTCCCATGTCGCAGTGCCTACCAACGACCATACCACACATACCATACCATCTCCCTCCCTCCCAGCATATGCAGATGCTACAGCCGACTGTCTATCCGATGGCTCTGCAGATGTGTCAAAGCCTATGGAAAATGGTACAGCTGAGTCGACAGCTCCCAAAACCCATACTTATGAGGGCATTACCAACGGTGATATAGATATTCAGCAACTACTTGACAATATCACTGCAAATGCCGAAAAGAATGAACCAGCTTCGACTACTCCTGCCCAACCTTCCACCCCTAATTCCACCCTTTCCAAAGGGAGCTCAACCTTGCCATCCCATGCCAGCCTTCCGCCACGCCCACAAATTCTACAAAATCGCAATTATGCAGATGACATGCAAAAGTACCACGCAGGCCCACCAGGTGTCCCCCAGCAGGCCAACTCTTCTAGGCCTGTAGGAGCGCCTCCGTCTCTTGTTGGTGCAGGTGCTCCTGGCACCTCCACCGATCCTAGAGGTGGGCTTCCTCCTCCCCCAGTAGCATCTTTTAGACCCCCCTCATCTGCAAAACCCATCAGCCCATCCTCATATACCCACCTCAATAGACCACCTGGGCAAAGTCAAGCCAGACCTGTTGATGTTGAGGATGAAGCTGATGTTATAGATGCACGATGGGGTCCTGATGTACAAAAGATCTACGACGAATTCCTTGTAAATGAGCGGATGTACGTGACCGAGGGCATTTGGGACAGGTTCCCAAAGAAGTCTCGTCTATTTATAGGTAAGCAAAAGTCTGTCGCGATTCACAGCTTAGACAACTAACAAGGCCCAATACAGGTAATTTACCTTCGGAAAAAGTTACTAAGCGAGATTTATTTCACGTCTTCCACAAATACGGCAAGCTTGCTCAGGTCTCTATCAAGCAAGCATACGGGTTCATTCAATTTCACGAAGACGCTGCGTGTGCTGAGGCTCTAGCACGTGAACAAGGAGCAGAAGTCAGAGGACGCAAAATGCGTGAGTAGACCTCTACGTTGAGATTTCACTACTAACTCGCTCGTAGATCTTGAGATATCAAGACCACAGAAGAATACGCGCAATGCCGCCCAGAATGCTCAACCGCCCCGTAGGTCAAGATCCCCCGACTATGCAAGAGGGGGTATGTCAGACCGCGGTGGCGGACAAGGGCAAGGAAGTCGAATGCCTAATATTGACCGCTACGACGGGAGATCCAATAACAGCAGCATCCGCCAGGATGAGTATGGCCGACCATTACGCATAAGAGATGATTACCGGCCAGTACGGTCCCCTACACCACCTCGGTACCGGACTCGCGACGACTATGCTCCACGTGGTAGAGATTCCTATGGAGGCCGAGAGCGTCATCGAAGTCGCTCGCGCTCTCCATATGGAAATAGAGACGACGGTAGATATCGCGAGAGAAGTTTGAGCCCTCGAGCACGTCAGACAAATGAGGATCTGGATCTCCAGATACCTCGACGAGACCAACGCAACGTACCCGACGTCCAGATTATCCTCATGGACCAACTTGACCGAGCGTTCGTCTCCTGGGTGGAAGGCGAATTCCTTTCCCGTGGCATTAAGACTGAAGTGATGTTCCTCAGCGCACGACTACCCCTCCAAGCAGTTATCCGGCGACAAATTCTCGAGGGTGTTTATGCTGTCTTACAGCTTGATATGAGGTCCCAAATGGAGAGCAAAGTCCCTTTACAAGTTTTCGATCGCCAAGGTGGTGCTAACAATGTGCGATTCGACGAGTACCAAGATCTAGAGCCCAGGATCGCAGCAGAACTAGTACACCGTGCGAAGCAAGCCCAGCCCGTGCACCAACCTCCCCCCCAAACACAAATTCCTCAATACACCCAACCGCAATTCGCATCTGGCCAAGCCTATCAGCCACCAATCCAGTCACCTACCCAATATCAGCCGTCTCCAGCCCCTGCACCGGCTGCCCCGAATCTTGCCAGTCTAGTAGGCCAGCTTGATAATTCTAGCCTTCAACAACTCCTTTACTCGATGAATGCCCAACAACCACAGCAACAAAATGCACCTGCTGTTGCATCTAATTCTGCAATTGACCTCGCTGGCCTCTTAGGTGGTCTCAACCCCCCACAGCAAGGATACCAGCCGCAACCTACTCCATCTCCATATCCCAATCTTGCGAACAATCCAGCCCTCGCATCCATACTTGGGCACGTGGCTGCTCCACCGCAGGCTCAATCTCAACCCCAGCCCCAGCAGTCTACTCAACAAGTTCAGAATATAATGGCTCAACTTGCTAGATTTCGAGGATAATGAGAGATGTTTGGCAGGACATCCGAATCAGTAGTGAACTATAGCCCTCAGCCCTTTAGGGTATTGATTGAGGAGGAAAATAGCTTCTTGTAGAATTACTATGGTACATCAAGAGAGAAGAGTTCCTTTTGATACTGGAATACTGGAAGTCGAATTTACGACTCGTTATCCACCTTTTCAAGCGCCGTTCTATGCCATAGAACCCATGCATATTCTACACTTTTGTACATAGTCCAAGTTTAAGAACTTTTGTCACTTGAATATTGAGGTTTTACAGGCCAAACAGATGGTCTATGCATGATTAGTCCCTGTGAGGTGAAAGATGGGAGTGAAACTTACCTAGTCAAAAGCAACTTTTCCACGGGCGCAGTCTCCCTCGACTTCAACCATGCAATCAAATCAGCTCTCAAACTGTTCGAGGGCTTTCCCAGAACATCCACCCCCCCTCTCCACAAGCGCCATTCTCACTTCCTCCGGCTCCAATTCATCCACCCTCTTCGGGTCTCCCAACAGCTTATCATCCATCTCCAGATACTCCACGCTACTCGCGACCTTCCTCCTCAAAACCCACGTCGGCAGCCCTGGATATTGTCCCCCTAGCCAATCCCACGCACTACTACTAAGTCCCAAACTCCAACTAACATGCAGCACCTGCATCCTTTCCAACGCATCTACCCCCTTCTCAGTCGGCGGTTCCACAGTCAGGTTCCGAAAGCTAATCCCGCGCCTCTTTTCCAACTTCTTCCTATCAGCATCGATCTGCTTCGGAATCCGACATGTCCACGGCACAACACTACTCAGCGCAATGACCACCAACGGCGTAAACTCCCCGCACAGTATAAACACCAGACCGAAAATGGGGACACGCTTGATATCATGCCAGTTGCGGCACAGGAGTTGGAATTCGGAACGCGTGAGCGCGTTGGCTGAGACGGCGGTGGGGAGCGAGGAGGCGTGTTTGGTGTCAACGAGGTCTTGGATGGGTTGTGAGGCGCGGAAGTTGGCGTAGATTGCTTTGGCGCCGGTCTTGTAGAAGGTTGCGTAGGCTTTGCCGAGGGCGATGTAGTATTTTATGGTGGAGGTTGGAGGGTCGTTGCGCTTGGGTAGTTCGAGGGGTGGTGGGCGGGTTGAGAGGGGGCCGTTGAGGGGACTTGTTAGGGGCGCCGCATCTTTGGTTACGGAGCTGGAGGTTGAGGAGGCCAGCGCTGGGAGGGGTGTTTTGATGGAGAAGAGAGGTGGGGGAGGAGTTGGGACTTGAATGCTATTGAGGTAGCATTGTAGGTGTATGGAGCGCAGGCGGCGTGTTGGAAAAGAGTGGTGGTACGTAGACCGCGGAGAGCGAATGTGGTCATTTCATTAGGAGATGAAGATGGGAAGTAAATAGTATTATTGTACAAGAGAAAGAGGAAAGAGGTTGACAATGAGAATGAAAATGAGACCAGCTTTTGGCTTGACTCTTGATTCAGTCCTGATCCCAAAGATATCTGCAGGGGTATGTCCCTGTTGGGTCCTACAAAGCGCTCCTTCCCGCCGGCCTAGTCTCGGATTTCAAAGCGCCTTCTAGAACTATACCGTTCTTGGCTCGCTTGGGTAAGCTGAAGCTGACTGTCACTCACCTTCCCCTCCACTTTGAATGCGAGGCCAGATATCTCGAAAGTGTATATCCTCAAAAGTCAACTGATTCCTTGCTGTATAATTGCAGTTTGCATTTCTGCAATAAAACGGCTATCAATGCAGCTTCCCGCAGCCTGAAACCCACCCTACTCCACCCATTCCCCTTCCCCTTCCAAAAGCAAATCTGTTCATCCGATCATTAGCCTCAATACTTGCACCAGCCGCATCATGTCGTCGTGGCCCTACCACTTTGTCGATCTCAACGACCGGCAGAAACATGAGCGTCGGATATTGCTCGATCGCTATGGAGTCTTTGCCCAGCTTTCCGCTCTCGTTCCTATTGCAGTGATCTTGCTGTTTAGGCTGGGTATCTGGGTGCTTTCGGAGCGGAGGAGACAGCAGGAGTATGCTGCTGTTCCTACTTCGCCTGGGCTGAAGAGGGAAAGGTTGAGTGGCTCTGGAGCCTTGCTGAGGAGGTGGAGGAGGCTCGAGTGGTGGCTGGAATCTGATGTTGGGGGTGGATGGGGAGTTAGGGGACGGTGGATTGCGGGATTGGCTTGGGGAGCTTGGTTGTTGTTTTGAGTGTTCATAGGACTGGTGATGGTAGGTCGTTTTACGTTTCTTGTTCCTTTTGTTTCGAGGCCGTTGGCAAGGTCCGGCTTGTATCTCTTTCTTCTTGTAACTCCTCAGCCATATTACCATTTATTGAGCCTCTCTATCTCTTATATCCACACTATGCTATAGCCGGAAGTTACTTCGCAGGCTCTTGTGGGTGAAGTATTGGTCCACCAGGTCTATTTATTGTTTGTCCCATATCACGTGATTATTTCCTCTTTTCCGAATAAATTGGGTGGACTTCAATCCGAGAGAAGCTAATTCATCTTTAGACTACCTTCATATCACCAAGCGCTTTGGGGAAGTTGCAGTGTCTCAATTCCCCATGCACTACATCCTATCCATGAAGTCTGCCTACTCGCCCCTGTCTTTAGTCCTCAATTCATCCCACGAGGAACTGAATCCCTGGCATCGACTTTCAGGACGCATCATCTACTCTCTCCTTGCTCTTCATGCGTCTTGGTACCTCAACCTTTTTATTCAAGTTGGAGTTCTCGCGAAGCGGCTGAAAAGTCTCGATGTCATTATCGGTTTGATAGCATTTATTGGCTTGACTATTATTTCAACTACAAGTCTAGCCTTTGTGAGACGATGGAGCTATCGAGTATTTTTCGTGATGCACTTGACAATCGGTGTCACGATTCTGCCGCTTCTTTTCTTCCACGCTTCGTATCTACGGCTTTATATCATTGAAGCACTAGCCATCTTTGTTTTTGACATTGTCTGCAGAAACTTGGATACTACGACTGGGTATGCGACCATCACACCAGTACCCCACACCAAGCTTGTTAAGATTAGGATTCCTGTCCCAGCCTCAAAAATCAAGAGATTCCATGCCGCTCCAGGTCAGCACGTTTACCTCTCAATCCCACCGGAAAGCACGCCGCCAACTACCACCACTCCATCAATCCACGGTCTACTTTTCAACCCATTTACCGTTGCAGATGTTGGGGCAAAAGATATCACAGTGGTATTAAGAATTCTCAACGGTCCCACAACAAAAGCAATAGAAAACCTGGGCCATCTTACCAAGGCCAGGCCACCAATCAACATTGAAGGTCCCCTAGGTAGCTCTCGCCGGTTCACAAACCTAGCCCAAAACTACGACAGAATACTGCTCTTTGCAGGTGGTGTAGGAGCAACTTTCATACTCCCTATTTACTACCATCTTCAAAAACAGTTGGACAACGAGGCCAGAAGTCCGGACCGTCTTACATGCATTTGGTCAATGAGATCTGCCGCGGAAGCTAGCTGGGCAATCGAACCCGAAGCCAGTGAACAAATAGACGATGATGCGAATGTCAAGATCTTCTTAACCCGCACTCGTGAAGACCAGATCCAGGAGCCGATTCCTGCAGATGGGAGTATTGAGCTGGATGATTTGACTGTGAAGGAGGAGCCGGTAAAGGCTACTGGTGGTAGGGATCGGCCTGATATTGGGAAGATTGTCGATGGGGTGTTCAAAGCTGGGCATGAAGAAAGGGTTGCGGTGCTGGTCTGTGGACCTGTGGCGATGGCGAGGGAAGTCAAGAAGGAAGTTGGGAAATGGGTTAGCAAGGGAAGGGATGTCTGGGTAAGTCACGTTCTTTCTTTGGTTTTTTTTTGGAGCTCGGTTTCCAAAGATCTCTTAGGCGCAGTTACTAACTTGCGTCTAGTTTCATGATGAGGGCTTCGGATGGTAGAGCTTGAAGACCTTAACATATTTTACTAGAAGCACGCTTGATGATTACGAATTCATGATCAAAATTTCATGCCAGAATTGTAGACATATTGGTCTGTGAAGTGTGCAGGGTTACTCGTGTTCCACATTCATCATCATTGAAAAAGTTCAGAAGGAATGGCTCTCCTGCTAGGCTACTACCATACCTCCTTCAAATTTAGGAATTATGTATAAACGTAATCCATTGCCAACGCCAGCGCCAAGCCATCCATATCGTAACATAACATAACATATTGTCTAATCCGCCCTCTTCTTGGTATCGGCCTCCTCCCCACCACTACTAGCACTCGGCGTCTTAGGCCCCTCACCTTCATCCGTATGCTCATCAGCATCCCAGTCATCCTCTCCATTCTCATCCCAATTATCAACCGCCTCATCAAGACTCTGCGGCACGACTCCAACTTCCCCGGACTCCTGCGCCCCGACGCCCTCTCCAAGCTCTAAATCCTCCTCATCCTCCCCACCCACAGCCTGATAACTCTGCTTGTTCCTCTTCTTCCGCTCCAGCATTCGCTGATGATACCAGGAACTCAGCGCTAGCGCCCCGAGCGAGCCCACTACATTCGCCACGATATCGTAGAAATCAAAAACCCGGCCATTAGGTATGAAGCCCTGCAGGAACTCCGAACCGATGGCGAGGACGCCCGTACAGGTTACGAGCGTGATGTTTAGGGAGCGGCGCCGCGAGGTGTCAAGGATCCAGTAGAAGCAGGTTGTGAGCAGGAAGAAGGTGAGGAAGTGAAGGACTTTGTCGTTGATGAGCGAGTCGACTTGGAGTGAGGAGAGGCCGGCGTAGGCTGCTGTTGCTGTGAGGAAGAGGAATGCTCCTGTGGGGGAGTTAGTACTTTTGGATGACGTTTAGCATTGATATGGGTGCGAACCTGCGAAGGGTAGCCTTATGCGCATTTTTTGTTGGATGGTTTTATTAGCTGGTGAAGGGTTAGAGAATCATTTCAAGACTGGAAAAGTAGGAGAGGGCCTGAAATGGATGGTGTCGTACATTTAGAGCTTGATGGCTTGAGCTTGAGCTTGAGCTGCGTCGTCCTTTGCAAGGATTACGATTGGATACACGTGACCGGACTTGGTATCTAGGCAGGAGTTCGGGGAAGTGCAGGAGAACAAATAAACTCTAATCGCAGGACTGATAGAAAACCGAATTGTAAGAATTATTGTATTGTAGATTGCTTTGTAAAATATTTAAATAGAATGTAGTTATTAAGAAATTTCTCAGGTAAATATTATAAATAAATACTTAATTTACAATACAAAGTCCAGCTATCTAGACCAGTCAGTCGTCCAGCCTTTATGATCAATCCATACGCTAACCCCATGATGACCCTCCAGAGCGCGCAACGTCAATCCAAACAGCACGATATTTGCTTCATCAACAAACCACGCAAACCATCGAATTTCGACGCCGCAGCATCTCGGACACATTACCAATGTTCCGAGCTTACTCTCCAGCGAAATAAGGACGTCGCGAGGACGTTTGCCGGTCTTGCGGGCTTGTCGCGAATTACACTCGTTTCTGCGGTGCATGCGCGTGAGAGGGGGCCCCCGATGGCAACGAACAAGCCATTTGGCTCTGCGAAAGCCTCCATCACCCAACCATGGCCACCGCCCACATCGCTCTTGAAGAACTCCCACCATCCAAGAGATGATACTCCCGCGCGATCCAATACCAATACTCCAAGTCTCCCCTTCGATGATGCGTCAATGGCTGAACCGGGCGCCGTAATACAGTCTGAAGGGGATATAGAGGAGGAGCACCAGAAGACCATCTTCAAGGAGCTGTATCGACGCAGTGAGGCAAGGATCACTGAATTATTTGGGGGCGTGGCACAGGGGGAGCAGATATCTGCGGAGGATACGTCGGCGCAACAGGATCAATTGACAGATGAACCCAATATCAGAGAACCGGCCAAGGACCAAGCCCCCAAGAAGGCCGCGCGAACCATTGACGAGGACAACTACGATGATGAAGACGATGAGGATGATGAAGAGGAGGATGTGCAGACATCCCCTCTTAAAAACAAATCAGCCAACGCGTTATTGTCGCCCTCCAAGTCCGGAAGTTCCCCCGTCTCCTCAGATACATCTCCCACCAAGCCTACCGAGCCGAAACAGGAAGACTCCTCGCCAGAAGAGCCAAAGTCTTCCGAGGATGCGCGAAAGGAGCTCGAGGAAGAGAGGAAAGCTACAGAGGAAGCAGCCAAGCGCAGTTTTCACACCATATTCTATACTTTAGAGAACGATAGAGTTGCTATGTTGGAACAGCAAAGATTAGAAGAGGCCGAGAAGCAAATAAACGCCGAGATGGACAATAGCGGGAGTACCAGTAATGCAAATGCTAAGGGCGAACAACACGGTACTCTGAGTAGCGCCAACCTCGGCGCATCCAGCTTGACCCTCAAGCATCTTATTGCCCGAATCGACCTCAAGCGCGAGAAGGTCAAGGCTTCAGATGCTGAGCTCCGTGCTTTGATGAACGAGGTCCGGAAGAATAGGAGTAAATGGGCCAGTGAGGAAAATGTCAACCAGGAGGAACTCTACGAGGCTATTGAAAAGGTCTTGAGTGAACTCAAGGCCATGACGGAATATTCAGCTCCTTTTCTCACCAGAGTCAACAAGCGAGAAGCACCTGATTATTACAACAGTAAGAGTCTGAGATCCCCTACCTACCAGGCACATGAGCTAATACAGTCTAGTCATCAAAACCCCAATGGATCTCGGGACCATGACCAAGAAATTGAAACAGCAGGTTTACAAGTCCAAAGCCGATTTTGTTGCAGACTTAGATCTGATCTGGAGTAATTGCTTGAAATACAATGCAGATATTGCTCACCCTCTACGACGAAACGCAAACTCAATGAGAAAAGAAGCAGAAAAGCTCATCCCGTTAATCCCAGACCTCGTCATTCGTCCAAGAGCAGAGGTCGAAGCCGAGGAAAGGCGGAAACAGAACGGCGGTGAAGATGACGCTGGAGATGATAGTGACGATGAACCTATCATGTCATCTAGGGGACGAAAAGCGGGCGTAAAAGGCTCGTCAAAAGCAAGAAATGCTGCTCCGGAGCGCGATGAGGGAACTCCTGTGGTAGACCAGAAACCGTCCCTTCAGGTGAACGGCCTTCTCAGTACTCTTGGTCACGAGGGCTCTGATGCAGGATTCGACAGTAATGGATTTGGCACTCCACCAATTGGCTCGATCACTCCTAGCGGGCTCAACGGCATGCCAGGCATCGGAAGCCAGGCTGATGGTGATATCGATGGGCCATCCATGAATGGATTATCCTTAGGGCAAGCACTTGGTGCTGCTGCGGAAGACCTCCGTGAGGATGAGGAGTACAGAATCTGGAAACAAGTGACAAAGAAGGACCGTGCTTTTGTGGCAAAGGAACGTAATCGTCTTTTCAAAGGAGATAAACTAAATCCTGAAGAGCCTGCATTAATGAGAAGTAAAGCTGGCATGAGAAGATGGATCCGCCAACAGAAGCAGGCGCAAAACGACACCTCACGTCCAAATGTCAATGGCAAAGATGCAAACGAGACGGTCGAAGGTGGCGACACGCTTGCGGAAGGAATGGAAGCTGAAGAAGAACGTGTTCTTCCTGATTATTATGACCCTCTATCGGCTATACCAGACATCAACCCCAAACTTCAGTGGGTTGAGGATTCTGAGGGGAATGTGATCGATCAGCAATCGGAGGACTTCCTCCGCATGGTTAAGCCAGGTCACTTCATGGCTCCCAAGGGCTTTTTATCTGCCAAGGTTGACGCCAACATGAAGCAAATGCAAGAAACAAGGAAGCTTACCTCGAAAATCAGTGTTATCAAGCAGATGCAATTGCAAGCTCAAGTACGTGCTTTTCTCCAAAAGTCTCTAATAATCCTAACAAAGAATCTAGATGTACAATAATCAATTTCCAAAATACGAGCCAGAACCATTTGTCGAGGCCGATATCGAACCACATGTCATGTCCGATGACGGACCAGTTATGGCTCCTTGGGTTTGCAAGGCGGCAATGCAACGTTCTGTTGCCAAACTTTGCTACCACGCAGGTTTTGAAGAGCTTCAACCAAGTGCTTTGGATGTCATCACTGAGGCCGCAGCTGATTACTTCGAAAAGCTAGCGCGTACCGTCAATGTTTACCGAGAAGCGCCCAAGGTTCCAGCTATTGGCGCAGCCGCCGCGGGTGGGAAGAAGTGGCAGGCGCGCTACACTGATGAAGAAGTCATCCTCCACTCTCTTAGCGAAAATGGCATCGAAGTGGAAGCCTTGGAGAGCTATGTTAAAGACGACGTCGAGCGCTTTGGTGGTAAACTTGGAGTTATGCACGAACGCATGAAAGCCCACCTTTCCGACCTTCTCCGTCCTGCTCTGGCAGACAATAGCGCAGATGGATCTGGACAATTCAATGACGGCAGTGAGCAGTTTGTTGGTGGTGACTTCGCCGAAGAGTTAGGTGAAGATTTCTTCGGCTTCAAGGCTCTAGGCCTTGATTCAGAATTCGCCATGTCAAGTCTCTCCGTACCCTTACATCTTTTACACGCCAAAATCCATAAGATCGGTGGCCCAGGAATCCAGCCCGAGCAAGCGACCACAACCGATATCTTCCCGCCTCCAATATCCTTCGACCCTGTCACCAAAGAGAATCTCCCCGACCAGATCGGTCTCGTCAGGAACTTCTTCCTCGCCAAGTTACATGCCAATGAAGATGAGCCGCTCCTCGAAGACGAGGATCTACCCACGAAGCAAAAACCCCCAAAGCCCCGTCTCGGCCCCACAGGCAAGATCACCAGCCCGCGAAAAAGGCCCCTCAAAGAACAAACTGGCAACGCGAAGAAGAAGAAGAAGCTCGACAACGGCACCGCGATGGACACTACACCCAATGCAAAGACCAGCGGCGTTAACGCCAGCCCCGAAAAAGGGTCCGTAACAGCATCCGCCAAAAAGCTGAAGCTGGGCTTACCGAATGGAGGACCTGTGTCTATGGAACAAGCTGACAGCAGTCAAGGAAATGCGAGCCAGACGGAGAAAGATGACGTTGGTATGATTAGTCCAGAGAGCATTGAGCGATAGGACGTACAGATGGAGTCTGACTATTCACTTGCTCACGTATATATGGGATAATCGTTAATTTCTTTTTTTCATTCATTCATTTTTCTAGTTTGCAAACAATACTTGTATTAAGAGACGCCGGCGTTTTTTGGGTCGCGGGAGGCTGGGGATGGGGCATTACATTTGAAATTTTCTGGCGGGGGCGTGCATGCATTGGTGGTTTGGTTTGGTTTGATTTGGTTGGGGTTGATTTGGGTAGGAGGACAGAATGAGACAGGAATATCAATCACATCATGATGCGTGGGAACGATCAAATACAAGAAGATTGGATGGTATGGAAGTAGAACTGTGCTTGTTGTTTTGTACTTTATTGTGAGGAGGGGGCGGGGCAGGGCAGGTAGCTGGACAGATAGCTAGGTAGATTCATCGAATTGATGGGTTGGTCTTCTATAGGCTTGTCACAGTGTGAAGCTACAAGTAAAATGTGTAGTGGTTCTGAGATGCCGCGATGCTTCATTTATGTTTGTTGTTAATTTTAGCCTATGGACTAACTATCTTTTGTTCCCTTTTTCATCTTTCATGTTCCGCGAGATATCATCATCGCCGTACTGTAAATATAGCGTTGCAGTAGGCTCCTAGGGACTTTGCTCTAAGCCCACTTGTTTCGTGGCAATATAATTACAAATAGGATTGCTTTGCCTTGTTAAAGTTCGACAAAATGGTATTTCGTAGGGATGCCTTAAAAAGTCAGTGGCACTTGAGCCTGTTCCGAATGGCAGAGTCCGTCTTTTCAATTGCTTTGTTCTGGCTTGACACAGCATTCGATAGTAAAGACCGACTATAATGGTACAAATGAGACAGCGTCATTTCTTTTAGCAATAACTTTTTTCTTTCAAGTTATTGCCTTATTTTCTCTTTTTGTTAACGTCTTCAATGCGGCGGGTTAGAGAGCTCCGGGTAGAAGGCAAGAGCTACATCTGCACTGCTATTTGAGAGTTCTTGGCGGGAGTTTCTAGAAATTGGTGATCCATCGAGATATTTCCCATAGCCTGAATTAATCAAGTTTCGTTTTCAACGCAGGTTTATAAATGAGAACAGTAGTTCTTACATATTCAATGGGATTGAGAGATAGCATTTTTGATTTGCAAAGGATCTAGCTACAAGAGGGCGAAAATGTATAAGTCCCTCGCACTGGTTGCAGTTCCTTGCGCTTCCAAAAAGTCGCAATGTATCCCAGCCTTATATCTCTGCAAAACGAAGTCTTCCATGTTATTGATGCAAATTTGCGTCCGTAATACCACGTGATCGAAGCCTCTCCCTCGATTTATCAATCGGTGTCGTAGTCATGGAATCAGCTTTGGCGAATCTTTCGTATGATGTTCTTGATGACGACCTTGGGTTCGCGCCAGTCCTGGTATACCGCCTTCAAATCATGAATAACTGCTAGGGCAGTCTCCAGATGTAGAGCCAGAGACGACGAAGCATCTACCTGCACGAGTTCGAACGTGGTTGAAGGCATTCTCCAATTATACTCGAGTTCTTCCCCTACCAGCTCGAACCCGAACTCTTCTTCGAACACAATAGAAAGCTCGAACAGATTCTTGAATTTTGTCAAACAAGTAGTGCGCGATAGGGCAGACCATATTGAACAATCGATGGCAAGGTACTTGAGATTATCAAAAGCTTCGTCTGTGAGTACCCTGCTGCCGAACATATATCTCTGCTCATCAAAGTAATGCTCAGAAACTGAAGGCATAAACAGAGTATCTTTAGACAGATCAAGAAGCGCATATGAATAATACAGGGAATTTTGGGGGTCGATTTTACCGATTTGCGAAAGTATTCTCAGACTCTCCCGTCGTGACTCGCTGCAGACATGAAACACGACAGGTGGAGGCTGGTTGGCTCTTAGCACTGTTGGAAACTCGAAGCCGCTATAGCTAGGCTCGTATGACTCGTAATAGTCATCCGTGTAATTGACGTCGAGGAAAACATCTATAATCCGATGACCTGGCAAAGCTTCCCGCCATATCTTGAGTCTGATTTCTACGGGTAACTTGGGAAAGAGTGTGAAGTGAGTAATCCTTCCCAGCATAGTGATGCCCCTAATCATCTTTTGAAGACATGCAGCTCTAGGGTTCAGAGCCAAGAGAGCAGCGTCGATTGTGGTTGCCGATATCTCAGTAGAGTGAAGGCAATTTGCCATTGTCTCTGATGCCAGCTGTTGCATCTCATCCAAGACCTCCTGAACACTCTCCATCCTGGCACGTACTTCGGATGCAGGGAGAGTCACGAGAGGAGGGGGCTGGTCCTGGAGATATTGGTGTTAGCATCGCATCCATATGTGTTTCGCGTGCCTCAGACATCTCACCTTCTTATCGTTGTCTGCAGTGGCTGCGATTTGACCAAGCGTTCCGTTCATACTGCTGGTGGAGTGCTGTCGTTTCGTTAGCATTTGAGATTGTCATCAAGTAGACCAGTCGCCATTGCTTCGTCACTTGCACAGCTCATGTTGGCGATATAGTCTCGAAAAGCGAGCGTAGGAGTGTTGCGTAGTTGTTTTTTCTCAAGAGCTGTTGCTGTTGGGGTCTTCTGGGTTTCACGAACGCGCGAAGTTGAGGGCGATATACGATGCGGGTCTTCTCAAAACCACAGGTACAAACTGGAGGCGAGAGAACGCGTGAATAATCTTTGGAGGCGATAATTCAATAAAGTCAAGTGTTATGCTCATTGGGTTTTTGAAGTCAAGGTAGAAAGGTTGGATATTCAATCAGGAATAGTCTAAGCGAGATCGAGGGGAAGTGTGCGAGGTAACTATATCTAGGTCCCTTCCCAAGTTATCCTTCCCAAGTTGTGAATATATGCCACCATTATGTTCTTCTCCATTCCATGCTAATTGAAAGCCTTGATCGGGTATTCAAGTCCTAATTAATCGTCTCCGCCTGCTCTGTAACAACATCTCTTATTACCTCTTAAAATGGTCTTAATGTGGAGAGTAGGTTCTTTCCACTTCGGAAACGCCTCTTTCACCTTCAGGAATAGGGCTCGGACTCTTCCCTCCCTCTCTGAGAATAGAGCTGATAGATCATAGGCCCTCGCTGGCTCGACGAACTTAATATTCGTTTCCTGCATCCTCCACGAATCATGACTCTCAAAACAGAGCCAGCCGCCTTCATGGTCGATGAGGGTCAATCTCCTCAAATTTCGGAACATTGAAATGCATTCGACATGCCCTTGGGTATACTGATCCCAGACGTCTGTATCTATGGCCAAGTACCGGATCTTGTTCAGTGCCGCTTCTGAGTAAAAATCCCCCCACACCAGGCTTGCCTGAAGGTAGTGATCAGACAAATTGCTGTTTGCGTACGGTATGAAGAGGGTGTCTTTGTCAGGGTCCAGGAGAACATGGCAGTAATCAACCTCTCGGAAGTTTTCCACGTTGCAGATGCTGATGTATTTTCTCAATGTCTCTTCCCTTGACTCAAAACAGACACTCAGTAGCACAGGCGGAGGTTGGTTGATACGAATGACACCATCAGATATGTCACCGTCGGAGGACTCATGATAGTCGTAGTAAGCCTCGATGATACGCGGACCCGGCAGAGCTTCTCTCCAAATTTTGAGGCGTAGTTCGATTGGTAGTTTCGGAAATAAGGTAAATTGATTCAATGAGACTGCCGAAAGTAGCATGTTTGCAAGTATCTGCATTTCTGATACCGAGGAATGAATGGAAGACATTGACTCAAGCTGAGCCTCAGTAGGGTACTGGGAAAGCGGGAATTCCGTAGAGATCGTAGCTTTGAGACTTTTGATATGTTTGTCGATCTTCTTAAGTGTTTTTATAGCACTCTCTATGACCGAAGTATCCTCTTTGGTCAAGGACTCTATAGTCGGAAGAGTGGCAAGGATAGAGCATAATTTCTAGGAATCGTTAAACAGTCACTTTTGTTATCCAGAAGTTGCGGAACACTTACACTGGCATCGTCTGCTAAGATTGTGCTATTGTTCCGAGGCCTTTCTTCCATAGGCTTCTTGACATCTAGGGCGTTGCTATGGAATTTATTCATCGCTAAAGAGAGTGATGGGTGCTCTCTTTTGCTGTAGTTGGATTAAAAGTTAAGTTGCAAGTAATAAGGTGATCTAAATATTTTCATATTTAGATGGGGAACTGTATAAGGTAGCTTGTAACTTTTATAATCTGAGTGGTGTTACAGCTCGACCGAAGGACAAAAAGAAGATCGGGCGAAGTGGGTGAAAGTGCTAGTATTTAAGCTTCTCCAAGAACGAGAATACTAGACTAAGGAGGGTCCAGGGGAAAGACGCTTTTTATACTAGCCAATTCACACATCTATGTCGACTAACCCCTTTGGTCGGACTCATACCTATGCCGTCCTTTCCGGATAGACAGATTACCTATGTGAATAGAATGGGAACGTGATGTACTATGACTGAATAGGGGGGCAGATCTAATGATCCACACACGTGGTATAACTTGCCTGTGGCAACTGGTGCGATTGTCTTCAAGTTCAGAGAACTTTAGGGGGGAGAGTATGGGGGAAGGCGTCGAGACGTTGAGCCAGGAACTAAGCGAGGTTCGATTGCCTATTCGGGCGGTCACTCACCGCGCTTTCACTTTACAATTGCTGATCAACGCAATCTTCGTTGAGAACGCTGTTTTGTTTTCTCAATCCAAAAACCTGCCACTCTTTGTGTAACATCAGTCATGCCCAGATATCCATCCCTCTGCGAAAGGAATCAGGACAGCCCGAAAATGATGACGGAAAACATAACCTCTCGAGGACTCGAGGAGAAAATTGTCAGAATTACGACCATTATTCCACGGGTCACCAAGCTGGCTGCAGAAGAAGCTTTGATAATCTCCCAGGGTGACCTCGTCGACGCTCTGCTGCTTCTTGGTGGTGAGAAGGTGGCAGAAGATAGTGATGTCTCTGGTCAGCTCCATCAGAATCGAATGGGTCCACAAGGTGTTGATACGAGAACTGAAGGCAAGAAGGCAAGTCGTAAATACTTGCCGATAACTTTGCTCATCATCTAACTTTACAAATAGCTCAAAGGGGCAAGGTCAGTCGAGGATGACTCTGTTGGACAGGACACAAGCATGGTGAGCACCCCTGTCAAGGAAACAGTCGACTTAATATAGATGGAATCTAGATACAAGCATCCTATTCACAGTATGGGGCTCAATGCAATCCATTGCAAGCGATTCCAAGACTCTCAGCATCTATGGCCGCTTCTATCCAAAGTCTACGATCATCCGGCTTGGATAAAAACACCTTCCAATCTTTGCTTGATGACATCCAAGCTATAAATTCGCTATCGAATAAGCTTGAATCTATGGGCGGTGGATTTTCACGGTTCTCGAAGATATTTACATTGTTATCGATGACAATGATGAGACATGCGACTATCCTTGCGAAGAATGCAGGGGGTCTAATCTCTTGGGAAAGTAGTGGATATCGACCTGGGAGAGCTAGAACCTGACGAAAGCGGATTTTATGATGAATACCTGGTACATGATCGGTTGGACATACTTAGGGAGGTTTACAAGAATCTAGAATGGGAGGTGCCAAAAGTCACGGTTTTGGAACCTATTAGAACTAGGAAGGAGTGTGAATATCTCAGATAGCTGGGACATTGCGTTGGGGACCGGCTTCAAAAAGTGCTCTTGCTCTTATTATGACGGCTAGCTATATTCATTTGCACTCTGTGATGTAGCGGTTGCAGCGTATCATGTATCGTAGCTTCCTGATTGTAGAATGCTAGAAACTCGGGAGAACACCAGACTTTTCGCAACATCCCATCAAATTTCCCCCGTGCTGAAAGCCGACTTTGTTCCTTTCTCGCCGAGCGAGTTCATGAGTCCCTGTTACAAGCTCTAATTTTTTTTTCAATCGTGAGCCTAGCTTCCTCGGTTTGCTGACATGTATAAGGGAAGGGAGCAAGGCGCAGAACTTCACACTGGGTGTGAGGTGAGGTGGAATGAAATTCAGTGAGAATCTGCTTGAACTTGATTCCATCTGTCATTCAAGGCATCCCTTTGATGATGTAATCGGAGAGTTGAGCACAACGATATCTTTTCTCATAATGAAAATGAAAAGACGTTGCATTTCTTAGTGTTTAAACTGATAAGTTAAAGAAACGAATCTTGGCCTCGAAGAAGGAAGTTTTGGATGGCTCCAACTCCACGCCCACTTGGAGAAATTGGGACCCATATGAAGCAATTCATCAAAAATGTAATAACCAAACCTTAAAAAAAGCAGACACGTTCATGATTGACATGTAAAAGCAGTGCTCACGGCTTGTTGCACCAAAAATATGGTGAAGAGGGTCATGGTCATAAGTTTTTAGGGAAAGGTATGAGCAAGAATTCCATTTTGATATCATACGCCAGGCAATGCAATTCCAAACGCCAGTTAATCATGAGACTGAATCACGCTACAGCTTGTGGTTGAGGTCCTTGGCCTTGGGGCTGGCTCTCAGACTGTGCTTGCATAATCTTTTCCAATATCAGCATCTCCCATAATATCCATATCTGTTGGGTAACTCACCTGCGCCCTCAGCTCATCACTCTTGTCCTCCACATCCTTGATCTGCTTCTCGACTCTCTTGCTGTACACCAAGTCAGCTACATCCTCCCCCCAAGCCAGGTAATAAACATACATCTCATTCTCAATGTATTCCAGTCTCCCATCTACAGCCAGCACAGCCTCCGTCTTGTCCTGCTTCAACAGTACCGGTCCAACCATCTTGTAGATGTTCGCCTCATCCTTCAGTCCCGAGAATTCCTACGTCTCTTAGCCTCTTGCGCTGCATACTGGGCCATAGTCTCAAACCTTTTGGACCGCCTTGTTCTCTTGTTGCTGAGACTCGAGCTTTTGCCGTGAGTTGACATAGTTTTGTAGCTCTGTTGGAGTATGTTAGCATATGACAGTCGGTAAGATGGGGCTTATGCAACTCGCCTTGCTGAATGTTTTGATACCCGGTAGTCAAGCCCTGGAGACGTTGCTGTACTTCTGCCATGGTTGCTCTGAGAAGGTGGGGCAGAAATGTTTGCAGGGGTGGTGTTGAAGATATCCTAAGGATTTTATTCGCTCGTTATCACGGAAGTATTGTGTAGGCTGTCGAAATTAGTCAAAAAGGAGAGATTCGTCAAGTTAAAGGGTCGTATGAGCTTCTATTGGACGGTCGAAAAGTTTCAAGAAGTCTGGATGTCGTTTCACTAGCGCGGTTGCGATCTTGCCCCGCCAAGCGACCGAAGCTGGTTCGTCATAAACAACCTCCACCCTGACAACCTTGCAAGACAATAGAGATTCTGTTATTGCGATTCCCCAGAGATAATCTCTGTCTCTTGAGCTGTAGTTGCGCGTCAATATAACTGCGCCAAACGGACTGCGCGCGCTGAGATCCTGAAGACCTGCCCCTCTGGCAGTTTCCAGTGCCTATCATCTACACCCAAACAACGCAGATATAACCGCCCAAAGAGTTGAAACCTTGTGAACCTGCGAATCTTTCACTAGGGAGACCTCCTGCCCACGAGAATCAAGCCTGCGATCCTTTCTGCCTCCTGGTAGCTCCGACAACTTCCCCCAAGTCCAAACGCCCCAACCCGAACATGTCGAATACCGACTTCCTTGGCCGGGCCATAGACGTGGTCAAGAAGGCAATCGAAGCAGATACAGCCGCCGAATATGACAAAGCCTACCAACTATACTACCAGTCCCTCGAGTTGTTCATGCTAGCGCTAAAGTGGGAGAAGAACGCCAAGTCAAAGGAGATGATAAGGGCCAAGGCAGGCGAATACATGGAGCGAGCAGAGAAGCTAAAGAATCACCTTTCAGAAGCGGACGGCAAGCGGAAAAAACCAAGTATGGTGGGCTCGAATGGCAGTAGTACTGGTGGAGGGGGGAAAGGAGAGGATGGAAAGGAGGGCGAAGAGGTAGATGCTGATAGCAAAAAACTACGGAATGCTCTTGCAGGTGCGATTTTGCAAGATAAGCCGAATGTCAGGTGGGAGGACGTTGCTGGGCTTGAGGGGGCCAAGGAAGCGCTGAAAGAAGCTGTTGTGCTGCCTATCAAATTCCCACATCTTTTTACAGGCAAGAGACAACCCTGGAAGGGAATTTTGCTCTATGGGCCACCGGGTACGGGTAAAAGTTATTTGGCCAAGGCAGTTGCTACGGAGGCAAACAGTACATTCTTTAGTGTTAGCAGTTCGGATTTGGTCAGTAAGTGGATGGGAGAGTCAGAAAGGTTAGTATCTCGCCCTGGAAACCCCCAAGCTCTTCTGACGTGTTTTGTATAGACTAGTAAAACAGCTATTCGCCATGGCGCGAGAGAACAAACCCTCCATTATCTTCATCGACGAAATAGACGCCCTGTGTGGACCTAGAGGAGAAGGAGAATCCGAGGCCTCGCGACGTATCAAGACGGAAATGCTGGTGCAAATGGACGGAGTAGGCCGAGACAGCAAAGGCGTGCTCGTTCTAGGCGCAACAAATATTCCATGGCAACTAGACGCAGCCATCCGTAGACGTTTTCAAAGACGCGTGCACATCTCGTTACCCGATAGTGCTGCACGACAGACTATGTTCGAGCTTGCAGTGGGTACGACACCGTGTGATTTGACCAAAGCGGATTACAAGAAATTGGGAGATCTGAGTGAGGGATACTCAGGCAGTGATATTAGTATTGCTGTCCAAGATGCGCTCATGCAACCCGTGCGGTTAATCCAGATGGCTACGCATTACAAGAAGGTAAGTTCCAGATGCTCAAGGGAGATACATCATAGTTGACAAGAAGCCTAGGTTATGGACGACGGCCAAGAAAAGCTCACACCGTGCTCACCCGGTGACGATGGAGCAATGGAAATGTCCTGGACGGAAGTAGATTCCGACAAACTCCTCGAGCCACCGTTGCAAATAAAAGACTTCGTCAAAGCAGTAAAGAGCGCTCGGCCTACTGTATCAGGTGAGGATATCAAGCGAAGCGAGGAGTGGACGAAGGAGTTTGGCAGTGAGGGCGTATAGTAAGAATAATCAGTGAAGGGCACCAGGGGAGGTAGCATGGCGTTGGTACCGGAGTTACACTGGATCATTATTCAAGAAGCATACGAGCGCATATCACATATAAAGTATAGTAGCGCAAAACAAAACAATTCAGAGAAGTGCGTACAACAACCGCATTGCAAGTAACTATTTCAAGTATCTAGCTATTCCAATGCGCCGTATGCACAGCAGAAGAATGTTTTTGGGTCCCATTTTCCCCTAGCATGAATATCCACAACGCCGCAAGTTATTCAGACAAGCACAAATAGTCAACCACGCGCCTCAGCTCCGTCCAGATGTACACAAAAGGGAATCATTTAGCAGCCAACAGCATGATGCAGCTTAGTCCGAAGACGATTCCTTCTTGCTCTTCTTTTTCTTCTTTTTCTCGACTGCCTCCTCGTCGCCGTTGACTTCGCTGTGTCTCCGTTTCTTGTCCTTCTTGCTATCCTTATCCTTCTTGTCCTTGGATTTTTTCTCTTTCTTCTCGGATTGGGGCGCGGCATCAGTCATTGGGATGTCATCGATTTGGATGTCGCCTAGGACTGCATCCATAGCTGATCTCTGTTATGGGGGTCAGTAAAAGCTTCAGAGTCACGTGTGAGAAAACATACCATAGCGTCCTCGTTCTTCGTTGGCGCTGTGCCTGTAGCGTAGAAATCTAATCTCTCTTCGACCTGCTTCCTCAACGCCTCACCGAACTTGGTGTTTGGGTCTTCAGAGAAATTGTCAATTCTACTAGCGATACTGCACTTGTTGGCCAAGAATCTCGAGATACGGCCCTTATTCTTAGCACCTGCTCGTCCAATAAAGCTGGAGTGGTAGATCAATCCGTATTTGGGGGTGTTGCCCTTGGTCTTCAGCGCTCTGAACAAAGCCTTCTCTGCGCCGAGAATTTGGACTGTGGAGGCGGGGTATTTTGAGAGATTGGTGAGGGAACCGGCGTGGGAGATTAATCGTGCTGCAACAACTTCACCGATCAGAGTAGCCAGGTTAGGTGCAACGATGGCCATCTTATCGACGAGGTATTGGTATAGAGATTTTCGGTACTCGGCGAGCTTAACCACACGGTTTGCGAATGCCGAGACATTCTCCATATCGGCATCTGAGATTGCTTGTCCCATACTAACACGGGCAGCATCGATCACCGCTTGTGCAAGATCTCCATCGTCATTCACCAGCGCAGCAATATCGTGTAACGAGTCTTGCGTTAAAGTCTGCTTGTCACCAATAGCGAGCGCAAGTTTGGCGTAAGTGTGGTTGTCGGAAACGATTCGAACAAGTTCGGGAAAATGCCATCCGTACCATTCGCGGACACGCATGGAGAAGGTATTGACGGCCTTGTCAAGGTGGTCCAACGTAGCAATAGCTTGGATGATGTGGTTGTCGTTCTTCTGGACCGAGAACTTTACCTTCGCGCGCGAGTATGCATGGCCAAGACCCAATTGAGCTCTATCCACGTCCCCCTCTTGAAGCTTGACAAGTAGTTTGCCAGCATGGAACCGTAACCCGCGGAGCAAGTCTCCAACAACCTCGGACGTATCACCAGTCTCGCACTCGATGCCAGGGAATGAGGCTTTGATGCTTCCAGCTAATGTCTTATCTGATACACCGAGAACAATCTTCTTCTTCTTTGAGGGCTTTGGAAGATTCAATTCGAGCTCTGATCTAAGGTAGTCAGACATGACACCTTCAGATACCAGATTGACATTCTCGAGAGCTTCAGCGGCAGTTCTATGAATGTCATTAGCTCTAGGTTACAGGTATGCGTGATGGCAGAATAATTATTACCTGTATGGCGCAAAGCCTACAACCTTAACCATCTTTCCAAACTTCGCAAGATCTTGTCCCGCATCTTGAACTTCCTTCAATCGATTACCAATAGTATCGGCCTGATGGACAACCTGAAAAATCGCATAGCCCACTGCGGACTCGTGGAGTAAATAATCCACGGCGGCCATCTTGTCGAGGTCACTTTTCGTGTCGTGTGGTGGTGGTGATATTAATGTCCCTCGAAGTTTCGCAAACCGAAGCTCTTTAAAAAAAAATTCGTGCGATTAAACTTGATGCGCTAGTCGTTTGCTCTAAAGCCAAAGTGGCTAGCCTTCCAGCGCCCCGCCTTCCCCTTTTAGGTCCGACTAGACTATACTACACTATCACTACCACTTCTCTAGGTCCTTCCTCATAATCCAGATTAAATTACGGAATAATATAACTCAAATACAACTACATACTAACTATGACTTCTCCTCTACTGGATGTCCTTCCACTAGAAGTCTGAGATCAAATATGAAAATACGTCCTCTCAAGCCCTACTGGCTGGGTCGGGCTATTCACCAACCGCCATCCACCTCCCATGCGCTCTGAAAAAGCGTGGGTAACAGTTTTCAGGATTGTTCCATATGATCCGAAACTCTGCCGATATGTGTACGAACTCAAAGTCAAGTGATCAATCCTTCACACATGCAAGCAGATCCATGCCGAATGCAAAGATCTTTTCTGGAAATGCAATGGCCTCCACCTGGACACTATGTCTGAAATGAAATCATACATGTCAAAGAAATATCTGGATTCTCAATTATGTCGCCACCTCCGGTGCCTTCAATTGGATGTACAGGAATTTGACCCCAACGAAAAATGGGCTCTGAAATTGGCCGAGTGGGCGTGTAAAGGCAGTCTGAAGGAGTTATCTGTGGCCTTTACTCGTCCCTTATGCAAGGATGGAGGGTTTCAATCTCTTGTGTCTCATCAAGGAAATCCGAAGATACTACGCAATGCATTGGATGCACATGTGAGAAGCGGATCACCTGTTTGGAAAATGAAGATGATCCTTAACATGGGATTTCCCCTTACAAATGTGTGCGAGAAAGCACGATGGCTACGACATGCTGAGGGCCATGACCAGTGGCGTTTTCTCCAACAGTTCAATAAAGTCTTTCGTGGAAAGATGTGGGTGGATGGTATTCTGTGCGTTAGGGGAAGAGATAAGATTGAAGATGCCTTCAAGCTCAACACCGAGGAGAAGGACTTGTTTTCGCAGCTGCTGCGTAAGGCCGAGGAAGAAATGGCCTTTACTCCCTTTTTTCGAGCAACGAATCGTAGTGAAATGTTAACTTACTTTAAATTTTGAAAGCTTTCGCAGTGGTTTTTTTTTTAGAAGATGGAATGCTTCTAACTTGCCAAAGTTTGGGTTTATCACTATCTTCTGTTCTTCTTATGTAGCGTCATTTAAAAAAAAAAAATCGAGTAAAAGAGTCTAAAGATGAAGTAAGATTGTTGACTGCGCTGCACTTGCGATTATTACATGTTTGATTAGGGAAGGAAGGGAGAGATAGGTTGACTATCTAATGAGCAATAGATATGATAACCATCTTGAGAATGTTGCTTCATAGCTTCTTGCTATTAAGATGTGAAGCCCTTGGGCATACAGTTCACTAGAACGGGCATACAGAATTGGCAGCTCGTCACGTTTCACTTAACCGCCTCGAAACACAAATCCAGTCGAAATGCTCCATTGGTATACGGACCTACGTGACAAACGAAACCCTGAACTATTTCAGGAGGGATTATCTACCGCTCGAATCCTGATCAGAACGCAAATAGGACAAGAACATATTTCCAGTTCTTGTTGCTAGAATACAGAGTAAGGAAACGCCATCTCAATGTGCCACTTCTCCGTATCCCATGCGAGTCTTTCTACACGTGTAAAGCGATTTATGCCTTGGCGGCAGCGAGACCGACGGTACCCTTGCCGAGATCGTAAACGGAGTACCACTTTCGGAGGAAAGCGTCACCGAGAATAGCCAATGGGCCTACGGGCTCAGGGAAGTCCTAAGGATGATTGTTAGCTCATTATTTCCATGGATTTGAAATGGAGGAACTTACCATTCCCATGAAGCTGGAGATGCAAGATCCTTGAACTTCAAGAATGTAGTCGAATGGGGTGATGCTGAAGTTGTAGCCGCTGAGGGTGAAGGTTAGGTCTGGAAGGCTGTCACGCTTTGCGCAGTCAACGGTGTATTGTCCGTTATAGCCCTTCTTGGCACCAATCTCCTTGTTGAGAAGCTCGGCAAGAGTCGATGGGAGAGCAATGAGGGAGGTTCCGGTGTCAAGTATGACACCAGTGCTCTCGAGCTCAGCAGTAGAGTCACCAAAACTAATAGCATCGAGATCGACTTCCCAGTAGGCCTTGCGTCTCAAGGGGATTTCGGTGATCTTGCCAGTGTAGTGATCCTTGTTGATACCACCAAAGGTAGCCTCGGACTCGTCGCCCTCACTGTCAGCATTTCCAAGGTAGAAAGCGAATACGGGGTCGTCCAACAGACCCTGCTCAATCATACTGTAGAATGGAGGAGGGATCTTGTTTACGGAGATGGTGTCAAATCCAAGACCCAAGATACCATCGAAACGACCGAATGCAAAGGCAAGACCTGGCTCTTCGGTAGCTTCAGCGAAGATTTGGTCCTTGATCTTCAGGTCTCCAATGGTCACAACATCTTCGGAGACGAATCCGCTAAGGCTTCCGGAGCCATATCGGATCTCGAAGGAGGTACCGTTCTTCTTGTAGGTAGATGAGGAAGACGAGTCGTACTTTGTGTGAAGATAACAGGCGATCGAGCCACACTCGGAGGATGGAACCCACAAGTTGGAGCTTCCGGTGTCGAGAACGACCTTGAAGGTCTGGGGTGGCGTACCGATGGTGATCTCTGAAAAGTCTAGAGCTGAGTGTTAGAGCTTTACATGTGCAACCACTCATGGGCCGATCAACTTACACTGGGCGTTCAGGAAGTTGCTGACAGGCACTGGGTGGAGGCCCTTGTCGGCGTGGATGGAGGTGTCTTTGAACATCTCCTCTTCGTGTGCCTGGGGACGGACGCCCATATACTTCTGGCCGAGATGCTTGACATGAGTGTCGATGTTGGCGCCGGCCAGTTGCTCTGATAGAGAGATCTTCTTCAGCGGCATCTTGTGGACGCCTGCGCTCACAGAGCCGAGCAGCGAAGCTGCGGCGAAGAGGGCGCCTTTCATGATTGCGGTTCAAAGGAAATGGAATGGAATAGTATGAGGCAGTAGAAAAGGAAGGAAAAGAGTTGTGGATGTGATGATGGGCAATGTAAATGTGCAACCCGTGGTGGAATGATTGATTGATGGGGTTGTTGATAAGAGATGGAAAGAGGAGGCAAGAGGAGCTTAGTCGTGGCGTAGCTTGGGGGCAACAACCATGGCAACATAGGCAGCACAGAAGGGAACAGGTGATGACGACGGGGTGGCGCTAACGAGCTCATGCAGACTGCAGTGCAGCCTTGGAGTGGAGAGCTTGCCGAGCTTCGAGGTACAGAAAGAGAAACAGAGTAGTGAGAGAGTGAGTCAAAGTCACTCATGCCCACACCTACATACTTACTACCTATGTTCATCCGAGGTCAAGTCTTGTCTTATTGTGTGGACGAGTACCTGAAATATAATATATAAATACTTCATCTCAAAAAGGTCAAATTGTTATTAAGACTTCTGCTTCTGCTTCTGCTTCAACCTGATGCTCCACCAGCACGGCAGATCGCCAAGCCCAGGCATGCTAGCCTCACTTCAAGGGAAACGTGGGATTCAGGGACAACGCATAAGCTCTTTTCTACTATTTTTCCTTCTTACTCGGTCTCACAGGAACTCCTTAATCTAAGCGTACCTATACGTATCATCATCTCTATCTATTTACAGCTTTATGTACAATACTTTACATGCATTTATCCGTACATACTCAGTATACACTTCACACCCCATGCTCATGTGATGCAATCGTTCAAGACACCGCAGATCACTCCGGGTCACCCTCATCACTCAGCTGCCGTCCATGCCAACGCTCCAAGTATCTCTGCGCCTCGTAGTCCCCTGGCCATCCATCCCACGGCTCAATGCTATCCACCAGCTTTCGAGCTTCCTCTCCCTTATCAGTGCCGCTACAGAATACTTTAATAGCAACAATGGTTATCCGCAAGAACTTGGGTCCATTGCGAGATTGCTGCGCGGCGAAATCCAATTCTTCATGATTTCTCACCATCCATTCAAGGACCGCAATTATCTCGTCATATTCCCCAGCGACACCCAAGGCACGCACATAAGCATGAAGATGAACTCCGTGTATAGTATGTAATAACTTCGGGAGGTGGTAAGAACCTTCAGTGCTCCCAGATAACTTCCGGAACTCGTCTTTGAGCATAGCAAGTGAGGCCACTACCTCATCATGGCCCTCGACGTGACTCGTAGCTTCAAACCCCTTAACGAAGCCATCACAAATAATCTGGAACCCTCGTGGATCTAGCTCAAGTCCGCATTTATGGAAATCCCGCAGACCAGCGGCAAGAACCTGCCAGGCTAGAATGTCATTCTTGGGATGCCCAGCTAGATCGCGAAAAACAATCGCACCGCGTCGTGCGAGGGCACGGAAAAGCGCGTACCATTCCGGCCTGAACGTGGACTGGCGCATCTTTAAGAGCTCGGCAGCATGAGGTAGCGGGTCGAGGAATATCTTCTCTGTTCGTGACTCAATGATGGTATGTTGTTTGTTGGCCGCTTCGCCTTGCGCGTTGAAATCTGGATCTAGTGGCATTTTCCAGATGATTCGAGGAGCAAAGCGGCATACTAGTGATATAAAAGCTGAAAAAAGGGCCTTCGGAAATTTTCTGACGGCCAAAGTTCGTTCGACAACATCATAATTACCAAGCAAGCATGCCATCGAACGTTCATCTAAGAGTTTACTGTCGTGGATGATACGATTTCCTCGTTCTATGGATTTTGCATGCTGGACGAGGAAGATCAAACATTGCCCAGCTGGCCGGATCCCCTGCTCAATCATCTGGTCGTAGAGTTCATCAAGAGTTGGAGGTTGAAGACGCGACCTGTAGTAATTGCTGATATTGTCGTCTGAAACAGGCCGCACTTCTTTGCCATCCCCTGGGACCGAAGAACTGGCGTTTCCTAGAATTCTCGCATCCTCGTACGTAATCTTTACAAACATTGCAAAGTACACGGAAAGTGTTGGCCGAGAACCTTGATCTTGGTATGTTATAAAGGCGCTCCAGGCTTCTCGTATATCCCGGGTCGCTTCGATTCTTGCCGCCCATTGCGAGGAATGTGTGTCGTTTGAAGGTTGACCACCGTTGGAACGGCTATACCTCGTCTTCAATATTTTGCGGGTGTGTATTGTTGGTGTGCCATCGAGTTCTTGCCCCCCCAGAATCCTCAGAGCTTGATCATGTGAATTGTCATGTATGAATCCAGAGGCCTGTTTCCTTGCTAATGCGAGTATAACTCTGCTCGTGCTTTCTTCGTTCAAGCTTTGAGCATCCATACCATCCTGAGCTTCTCTCCACGGGGGCCAGCTCCTAGAACGTAAACTTACAGCTCTTGATTCTCTCGCCGACTTCTTGGAGGCAGTCAACACCTGAGCAACGGCTCTATAGCTGCCGTCATCTAGCGAAAGTGGTGGTTCAAATAGCCCACCCTGCTCCAAAAGCACCTTTTGAGCATTCCAGTTATGAACCATGGACTTCAAGGGCTCGATTGAAGCCGGCAAGGCTAATAAATGAATGATGGAGTTATATTCTTTGCAAAGCTTTCGATGCGTACGTACGTCTAACTTTCTAGGATCACGACAGTTTCTGTCTGAGGATGCGAAGAAGAATGGCCAGAGCATATGGGTAATACTGAGAATCGCTGGGGAGAATATCCGCCGTGCTTGGCATAAGAGCCGTGCTATGATTAACATGAATGTGGAATCATTTAGCTCCACAGCATGGATCGTATGAATATGTGTGGAGAAAGGTGCTACATCTGACCAAGGGTTGGCAGTATCAGTCTCAGCATCGGCCATTGAAATTTTGTCATTTCGAGGTCGGCCAAGAATCTTGTCCCAAACGTATGTTATAGCTGACTCTAGAGTACGAACCTCCAAGAGATCCAACCGTAGGATTTGCAAGAATAGAAACATGGGTTGATTTTCCGGGTCCGAGAGAAAACGCTGCATCATAGCGTCTGGTCCGTCCCCAGAAACTATCCAAGCCCATCTTGCCAAATTGTGAGTATCGAAGCCGCGGTCTCGAAGGGTGATAATCCTATCGTCGGTACTGCTTTCGGAGAAAGTTTCTAGGGCCTAAATGTGTCAGAACTTCGTTCTAGACTTCAGAATCATTGGACAAACATTTGAGGTAGTAGACTGGTGAAGATGGTGTAGGAGTATGGCTTGCAAGGATATGAGTGGTAAAGTTGGGCAGATGCGGTTCAGATATCTTTGTCTTTTGGCTTTGTCTTTGATGCCTAGGAAGGAAGAGAGAGCTGCTGATGAATTGTGTTGCGTCTTAAGGGCCTTCCTGGGGGTCCAACGGTCGCAGATTACAGAATCATTCGAAGAGGCCGATCGACGATACTTTACAACCCGACTCTTTGGGGCTATTTGTTGACCAAACCTGTGTGGCTTGTGCCCTGGCTTTTCGTCATTGCCAGCCGTAATGTCTGAACCCGGAGCATGCGATGATATAGGATTAAAGCATCGTTTTTGGACCAAGGAAATAGATTGAGGTGTAAACTAGAGGGGAAAATCAGCAGGACTGCGATCCATATGCCTTGGTTGCACTTACAATCTGGATATATGCAGGATCTAGGGAGCTGGAGGGGCCCCGCTGGAAGGGATTGCCCAATCTCGAGAAGTATCGACGCAAGTGCATTCATTCGTTCATACTGTCCAAGAATGTCTGTGGTCCAGAAAATGCTTAGGGGAAAAAGTGCATGGCATTTCTTGCACAAATTCGCATAAGTAAATTCTGATCCAGGTTGGGCAACAATGCCTCTGATTCAAAAAGGGTGTAAGATTGACTGGTGTTGTCTAATGCGAAGAGAGTGAGCAGAAAGAATAAGTATCCTGAAAGAGATCAAGCATACACACTCCAGCTTTCGGTGACAAAAGTCCTGGTGTACCAGCAATGCGGCAACGAGCGGCAGTAAAAGAAGGGAAGGTACGTATCTTACAAGACTAGACTAGACTAGGCTAGTTAGATTTAGCGCGTCTCGGCTAACACTAGCGTCTTTTCAGGAAATGCAGACGTGAGGGAAGGTGAAGCTTCAGGAGGCAGAGGAAGAGCACCGGCATTGCATAATTCACTTCGTCCAAGAGGCAATTCGAAATCCTGGAATGAATGTTGCTGGCCTCCTCTTCTGAATCTCAGAACTCTCACAGCACATGCCGACACTTTGCCGTTGCCCAGATACTGCCCGCACCGCCCGCACATCCATCTCGCGCCCCGTCACACATTCCATCGCGAACCCTTCTGAGATCGCGCGCGCCGCTCAGAACAGCTGCGCTGCGTACTGAAGCCAGCATAACCTAATCCATTTGCCATGGCTTCTGTTAATGGGGTTTTAAGCCCCCCACCACAACAAGCCGAAGCCGAAACCTTGTCTCCTAACAACGAGGCCATTCTACTCTCAGCAAAGCGAAAGCGCGACGAGAGCATCGAAGCTCAAAACAATGTAAACAGCGTTAGTGACTCAAAGGACATCGGCCAAATGGCCCTATCCATCGAAGAATCGCAATCTCTTGTTCGAGACTTGGTAGATGTGCTAAAAGCGTAAGTCAGCAATTCAACAAACACAATACAGCCGTAGCCTTGCCATCAACCCCCCCTCTCCCTTTTGACACCCTATTCATCTACAACCGCTGATCATAAAGACAGACACGATATTGTCCCATCGATTTTATCCCAACCACTTCCCCGTCGCGAATCTTCTGAGCCTCAAGCCAAGCGGCACAAAGCTGAAGATGGCTCTGAAATGCAATCTTCAAGTTCCATCCTCACACTTGTCTCATCGAATGTCTATACCGGTCTTGACGATGTCCTGAAGGATATTGATATTGCAGTATCTGCTGTCAAGGAGAAGCTGCAAATGCCAAATGATGTTGCACACGATGAACAATCGCAGTCCGAGCTTTCGACGAAGGCTTCCGCGTTCAAAAAAAGAGCCCATGAGTTAGTTGCTAGAGAAGAAGCGTTTTCTGCTGCTTCCAGAGTGAACGGTGCCGCATTTTCCTCGAATGCTAGTCTGGGTGTGAAAGCAAGCACGGAGATCAATGTTGGGCCTACAAATACCAAGACGGTCTTGACTCTTTATGGGAATGCGCCAGGACCGAAACAATTATTTTCCAGTTTCCAGGCGGAAGATGCTAATGGAGAGAAGAGTGAACTAGTACAGACTCTCCGTCGAGCGCCGCTTCCCGCCGGCATCTCAACAACAGACATTGTCTCTATACCATTCAATAATTTAGTAGAGGACAGCAAGCGTAATACACTTGGCGATGCCTTTCCAACGCCACCGAATGTGCCCTCATTACAACCTCCTAAGCCATCTAAAGTTGCGAACACTCGATCATCGACAGTCGGCTGGTACCAACCCGCTGCAGCAGACCCACAGCGGAGAACAGGAACCTATTTCACACAAAATATTACCCCTGGTGTCTGGCTTGACTACAGCAACGCGTCTTCCCCACCACAAAGTGGCAAGAAGAAGCAACGAGATCGAGCTATGAGTCTTGGGGGTGCGAAAGCTCCACAACTGGATGTTGAGCCGGCAGAGTCCGAGGCTGCAAAGCTAGACGCTGTTTTCCGAAGTGTCTACTCCGGATTTGCCCCTACGAAGGATGATTCTGCGGCAGTGGCACCAACAGGCGTAATCGATAGAATCTGGTGGCAGCAAGTAGGACAAAGGAATTACGAGCGACTGATCGAAAATGAGGCAAATATTGATTCAGTCACGGGAACAGAATCGAAGGCTAGGCCCCTTGTTGAAGAAGACGAGGAGTTGAAGGAGTTCGAAAAGTTGGCCGAGACTTGGGAAAGCGATATTGTGGATCCAACACTACTTCCTGTAGAGGCTCGTTATGAGAAATCTTTTGAGGAGAAGAGCGTCGATGAAATTCTTGAGGGTATTTCCGAATTACTGGAGACTTTATCTTCCTTTCAACGAAAGCGACACATGTCCTTGAATCCGTCAAATCGTCCAGCAGGCCTTCTCTCTGCTCCCGACACTTCGACGCTTGGGACACCTACGAAACCTACCGATTCAGAACAGAACACCTACGAGATCATCAGGGCTCAGTTGAAAATGATGATCCAAAGTCTGCCTCCCTATGCTGTGGCTAAACTTAATGGCGACCAATTGGCAGATCTAAACATCAGCACTAAGATTGAGGTCTATTTGGATGATTACAGGGGCGTCTTGGAGGAGGATGAACAAGGAAGGGCCAAAGCTCCGGCCACTTCGGTGACTGCACCTCGGCCGTCGACTTCGTCTCTTCATCGTGGCAGTCCTTCCGCTTTGTACGGCAACCAATATTCTGCGTCTCGACCTCCAGCTGCTGCTACTCACCAGTATTATGGCGGCGGCACATCGACACCAGTCCGAGCACCACCAACTTTGCCAAGAGCACCCTCTACTGGGCAAGTACCTTACCAGGCTCCGCGACCAACCGCACCCGCGGCCTATCGACCGCAAGGATATGGGACGCCTAGTTTCCAGCAACCGGCTCCTCGGCCTGTTCAACATCAATATCCGCAGACGAACGGTGCTCAATATATGACTCCCAATGCACAACCGTATATGCGTCCAGCTGCCCAGGGCTACCAAGGTGTTCCTCAAAGTGCACCACCTGCATCGATGAATGGTCGATACCCATCTCAGCCGACATATCCACATCAAGCCCAAGCCCAAGGCCAAAATGGGTTGGACTATCACCGTTTCGCCAATGGTTCCCAGATTCCCCGTCAGAACTCGCCCCCCAACCAAATGTTCGCTCAAAATTCCCAAACAAATCACGCACAAGCTCATCCAGCTTATTCGGGGCATTCGACGCCTACGCCTGGCATAGCTCAAAACCGGCAATCGTATCTCCAAAACCAAGTTAGCAATGGGAGCACCCCGCAGGCGACCCCAGCCCAGTATAGCCAGCCCCGCCAAACAACTGGGTATAGCACATTCATGAGTCAAGAACAGCAGCAATTGATGCTGGAACGTCAACGAGCGCAATTGGCAAATCAACAGCAAGCGAGGCATGCGGCCCAGGCTGCGCAGACAGTAATCAATAATGGTTCTGATGCTCGTTCTCCATCAACTCCCACGCCACAAATCAACGGTAGCAGTGCGGTCGCGGCAGGTCTTTAAAGTGCATGTATTCTTGGAGTTGGGGGCAGACTGGATAAATTGGCGTCATTACAGTGGAATGGATGGAGGTTTCAGTAGGGTAACATTACAACCCTGGCGTCTTACTCGTGATTTGTCCGTGGACATCGAGCTGAATTGAGCTGCTTGCAACCATAGATGGTGGTAATTACGGCGTGGCTGTTAGATCTACTGTATCTTGTACACCAAAATAGAAGTATTAATGGCAAAGTGGTTCCTTTGCATCTTGAATTGCAGTGATTGTTGAGACTTGCTTGTTCTGTAAGCCAGCACTTGGATGCGTAAGGTACGTATGTTGAAAAGTAAAATTCGTAAAGTCCAGACAAGCCCTTGCTCCTTCTCTCGTCAGCTCCAGTGTCTGTACCTAGGTAGGTAGGTGGGGTGGTACCTTGAGGTACCTCGACAGCCTATAAAGGTGGGCTTGGCGGACGTCACCAGAAAGGACCCCCACAATTTAACCAAGGGGAAAGAGGAGAGGATGAGGACTTATTTCTATATATATATATACAAGCACCGGTACTTCTTGCATATGAGATAAGCAAAGCTACTTTCCATTGACGAATCTCCAGCACTCGAAAGAAGCAACATTGTAACTGCTCTTTCAAACAAATACGACAAGTACCGCCAAGCTTGAAACCTCCTTGCTTGCAGCCTCTCAGCCCTACAGCACAGTACAAGTTTCAGCTTCACCCCACCGCCTCTACAACTCGTCCAAGAAATCCTGATCGTACTTTCACTAGCACAATCCACGTCCATCCTAAACTACAATTAATCATTATGGCCCACCCGACTCTCATCGATATGCCAGAACCTCCATCCTACCCCGACACACCAACTGAAGCACCGTGAGTCTTCCCTAATGACCCCTCCTTCCCATCCTAGGCTAACATCATATTCTCAAGTGGCACCCCCAACTCGACCACAACTTCCCTCTCTGCCCTCTCAACCACTGCAATCAAAGACGGCCACCGTGGCACCTCCCTCCCGCACCCAGGCTATGGCGGCCACCACCACACCCCGTCCAGCAACACCCTCGAAGCCGAGCGCGCCGATCGCATCTCGCGCCTCGCAGGCCTCGAGCGCGTTTCCACCGCACGCCCTCCAAACCCCAATCTCGTTGCTGGAGGAGTAGCAGGACAAAACGCAGGACAGGGCCAAATCCCCGGTTACTTTGACCAGAACGGCAATCCCGTCTATACAACCAAGATGTCGACTGTAGGCTCGGCATCTGCTACAGGTTCTATTGGTGGCAGGACCACGACCTGGGCAAGCAGCAGCGCCAAGGGCCAGACAGAGGGCGATGACGACGAGATGAGCATGGATACCAATTACCGTGACATGGAAGCAGATCGTTTCTCGGCTTCTGCCATGGACGAGGACATGGACCGCGACGGAGACGGCATGAGCGACAACACATCTCTCGTCGGGTTTGGCGAAGGTGCAGGCAGCACGGTCTCAGGTCCTATTTATAATAGAAGAGACTTGGCGACCAGTCCGGCAGTAGGCAAGAGTGCGCTGGCTAGTCAGTGGCAGAATACCTCGGGTCCCGCGACGCCGGCCAGTGCTGCGACGAGTATGACGGCTGAGCAGCAGCGACGCGAGGCGAGGATGATTGATGGGTTGGCGGATGATACGGCTGGGTATGTAGATACAGCTGCTAGAGATGGGCGAGGTGTTCCTGTGCCTGCAAGTAGGGGATCAGGAGCGGGGGTTGAGACGGCGGAACGCATTGTGAGGGATAGGCTTGATGGAGGCGAGGGACGCAGACCGCCACTTGGCAGTCCAGATGAGGCCGGACTTGGGAAGTTCTATTTTGAAGAGAAAAAGTAAAGCGGTAAAGCGGTCTGGGGGTTTGGAATTGGCGTTATGTGGTGGGGAATGGGGACCAATATATTGATACCATAGAGAGGTTCTGTTGTGAAACTTCTATGACTAAGTAGTATTTACTTCTTTCAGTAGATCACCTTTCTTATTTGTTACACCATTTCTTGTTCAAGTGCAGGTTTGTTGTTTTCTTGAAATACTGCGCTAATAGCCTACCTACGCTTGCTTCCACTTGACAATTGATCAGTCGAACTTCCAAACACTACTTGCTTCCCTTCATCTTGATATGGTGCAAAGGCTAAGTGGTGTCTACTCCCCTGAGGCATGCGTCTTGTTGCAAAAGAGCCTTGTGCCCCCTTAATAGCTCGCCCTTGGTTATTCCGACTTATTCGTCACCGTTTATTTCACAATTATTCAGGCAATGACAAGGGCGTAACAAAAAATTGTTGAAATGTAATACTGCAGATTCTCACGCACTAGGGCCCAATAAATAGGCATGTTCTGATAGATTCCATTTCCACGGTCGATACACTGGCAAATAATCCCAGATCAAAGCACATCCTCATCGACCCCCGCTTCATCCTTCACCTCCTTCACAGCACCCGGAACCTTCTCCTCCTGCTTCCTCCACAACCCTGCCAGAAACTCGCTCGTGCTCGCCTCATCAATACTCTTATCATCCCTTTTCTTCAAGAACCGTGGGAATCTCAGACTCAATCCCCGCTCATCACTCACGAGGCCGATTGCCGCAGTGTAGACCGGACTAAGCGTTATATCCGCAAATGCCATCTACTATCACATCAGCTTCAAGTTTTTCTTCCTTCATGACCTGGAAAAGAAAGGGCGACAAACCTCCCATACCTCCTGCGGTTCAAACCACACATCCGGATGTCCCCCCTCGTAGTCAACGTAACTTGGCTTTCCCCCTAGCACATGCTCGCTTCCCTCCTCGTAGAACTCCTTGTTCGCTTTATAGAACGTATCTGTAAACCCGGAAATACATTTACAAACCGCCTCTAGGGACCCGGTCTCCTCATTGCGCACAGCGAGTAAGATCGGCGACCACCATTTTGATTTCCGGCCTTGGCCATGCCACCCAGCGATGGGGATTAAATCTAGGGTGTCAAAGGTGGTGCTGTAGTCTTTCTTTACTTTGAGCCAGGAGTCGAGGCGTTTGTCGGGTTCGTAGGTGGAGAGGAGAGCTTTGCGACGGGTTTTCTTTTCGGGTTCTTTTTCGGAGGCTTTAGCTTTGGCATTGGCTTTCTTCTTCCCTTTGCTTGGTCTTGCTGGTGGATCGGGTGCTGATTCTTTGATTTCGGGGTTCTCGTCGGGTTCGTCTGTTAATTTGGTGTTCGGGAGGTTGTCGAGGATTTTGACCATGATGCCTTCGCATTTGACGTCTGTTGCGCTCTTGAAGAATTCGAGGACTGTTTCGGAGTCTTGGGATGTTGCGTCGATGCTTTTTACCCATGTAAACTGGTTTGGAACTTCCGTGAACAAGCTGCGGAGTAATTCGCGGCGCTCTCGAAATGGACGGTCAAGCAAAGGCTCTCCATTCAGGTACATGAGGTCGAAAGCAAACAGACATACGTTCACCCTGACGCTGCCGATTGCTACGTCTTTCCTTGCGCGGTTGGCAAGCGTTTGGAAAGTCTTCAGGTCTCCAGACTCTTGATCAACGGCCACAACTTCGCCCTCCATGATGAAACTCGAGACTCCATCTCCTCGAATCTTTGGTATCATGGCCACCAAATCAGGGTATTTATCGGTCATGAGCTCCAGGTGCCGAGAGAATATCGAGACTTTACCTTCAGAGTCACAATGCACTTGAGCACGCTGGCCATCGTACTTGTATTCGCAACTGAAGTCACGGCCCTGGAGCTTTGTGAGCATTTCAGATAAGTCTCTAGTAATGCTTCCTAGCATGGGTCTCAAAGGAATATGCAAAGCCAGCCCACATCTAACTAGAAGCTCATCGCAAACGCCGATTTCGAGAAGCACTGGTATCAAATCGTTGTAGTTTGGTCTTTTGGCAAAGCAAGCCTTTACAACTTCTTCTGCTTTTGACCAGACATCGGCAAGGGCCTCTTTCTTGAGACCCGCAAGTTCTGTTCGTGTCTTAACAGGGAAGTCGGCGCCAGAAGGTTTGGACAGAAGGAATGCTCGGGACAATGCAATCAACATTGTAGTTTTGACGGCTCCAATGCGTAGCTGATTTTCCGTTAGATTTCATGTGCCATGTCCAAGATGATCATCACTCACATGCTGGCAAAGAGTCCGGACAACATATCGACTTTCTTCAGGCCCTCTCGCGTCTTGCAGCAAACGATCCACAATCCGTTGTTTGATCTCGCCACTTCCCGTGCCTTGAGTGCTAGCAATCTTCACCAACGACTGATAGACCCCTTGGATTGTAAGAGGCTTTGGCTTCCGTAGGGTGAAGCTCTGCTTCTTCTTGGCCTCAAATGCAACGTCGCCAGCATCACCCACTTTATCGTACAGGGCTTTGAGGGACTTGCTATCCAGGCCGCAAACATTCTTGAGGGCTTTGGATATTGCAGATCCTCCAAGTCCAAGCTCTAAAGATATGTAAGGCGGAGAGATAGCGTTGGTAGCCAGCCAGACCTATTGTATTTCTTGAGTCAGATTATATTACAAGTGATATTCAGTCTCAATAAAAAGACTTTACTGGGGAAATTAGGATGGGGCGTATTTCTAGACGTTGAGACATGCTGTATAACAAGTGATATATTGGAACGTACAGTTGGTAAGAGACTATTTGGATCCCCTTCGATAATGATCCTCAGCAAATTAACCAGCGTATCTACAATCTTAATCCTGCTCTGTGTACTATTGACCAACACAAAGCATCTTGTGAGAAGAGCGTAGGATGCATTGCCTCCTTCGGCTGCCCAATGTCCTTGTAGATCTTTTATGTATTTCGCAGGCTCGAATGTCAATGGACTTTCATCGAATGGTATGTTTGAAGTGATGGTATCTTCCGCCGAGCCTGTAGCCTGCAGTGAGAGAGTATTCTTGCTCTTGGAATCTAGTACAGGTTTGACATCTGCAGAGCCCCTGTCAGAACCGTTAACTTCACCAACGTTACCATTCAGGGCAGTCTCCTCCACCGGGTCCTTTTCTACCTCAGCTGATACACTTGTAGAATTTGATCCTTCTCCGAAACCCGAATTCCTAGATTCGTGATCTGCTGAACTTCTGCCGGCAGCTTCCTGGTCCCATTCTGCTTGTAACTTCCTTGCCAACTCTTCGTCTGTCAAAGTGGAAGAATCGACCGTTCCACCGACTTCCTGCTCTGCATCCTTCGCAAGACGAGAGGGGACAGCCTGTCTCTGCTTGCCAAAGAAGTAATCGAGATTTCGAGAAGCGGGAGAGGATTTAGAATCGCTGTTGAGCTTTCGTTTCTTTGCAGGACTCGCCATACTGAAGTTGTAGAAGAGGAGCAGCCGGATACCTTTCACAAATATTTCATAGCCCTCATATTAGTAAGTTTATTTCGTCGCAAATACACCTTCTGTGACATTCTTAGATCATATCTTCACAGTGTGGTGGTTTGGGTGCTGGCCATCTTTGGTCAAACTCCTGAGTCCTGATGCCGTCATAGAAATCCGGGGGAGTCGCGTTTGGACGCGCTCGCCAAAATTTGGCTGCTGATCCCGTCCAAAGCAAGAAAACAGCTGTACAATACAGTCAGTACTTTCAACACCACACCACTCACCGTACAAGCATTCACACAATACCATGCCTTCCTCGTCTGGGACCAGGGATAAAAGCCCTCTGGCGGTGCTTCTCGATTCCGGACGAATCAATCCAACGTTAGAAAAAGATGTCAGATTAGAAGACTATCTCAACGACAAAATCCAGACGAGTACCGACTTTAGCAATCTCAAAAGCCTCTTAGAAAATATCGACCTGCAGAAGAAGCAGCTGGAAAAGCAGGTTGGTCGTTTCTTAGATTTAAAATCTTTGCGTATCAAGTTCTAATTATCCCAATAGCTTCAAGATGCCAAATCCAAGCTGCAGGAAGCCAGACAGAGCTCCGCGAACTATAACTCCACAATGCTCCAGCAGACTCAAGAGTTCGATCGTCAGCAAGCCAGTGTCCAAAAACGACTCATGATAGTGACAAATGCGCATACACCCGAAGAAGCTGCGAACCGTTTGCGGGGTCCTATGGAGAAGCTCCGAAAGGTTGAGCTGGCTAATTCTTACGTGGAAATGCTACAAGAAGTCGACGATTTGGCAAAGGACGCCAGATCACATCTTCCTGCGCACCCCAAGGAAGCTTTGAGGCCGTACATTCATCTGAAGGAGCTTGCTTTAAGCTTGGTCGAACTACAAGGCCTGGCAGAAGGAGCAGCACCACACTTGGTCAGGCACGTACAAAATACGACAAAGCGATTATGGGTAGATATGAAGAGGATAATGACGGATGAATTCGAAGCTATACTCAAAGCATCGAATTGGCCAGAGAATGCTCCTGAGCTCACAAGAGAGTGGAGCGATTGCTTTGAGAGACTCTTGGATTTACAATCGCCCGAGATTTTGGCTGCCCGGGAGCCTATTGTACTTCTTCCTATGGAGGTCCTTTGTAGGAACTTTGTTCTACAATTTCGGTATCATTTTTTCGGTAATAGAGATACAGCTCAGACGAAACATGTAATGCCCCAACCAAATATTTCAAGACTTCTGCTGACAATTTTTAGCTTGGGTCTTACTTTTTTGAATGGTTCCTCGGAACTGTTTCAAAATGGGAGGACTTCCTGCGCGAAAATGTAACTCCTGTACTCGCTGCTCACTTCAGGGGCAGTAAATTAGCAGGTAACAGCTTACACGTAAACTCTATCGCTGCGTTTATCACTGCAATGCTACCAGTAGTGAAGGAGAAAGTCGACTTGCTTCTTCTTGAAATATCCAATGAGCCTCGTCATTTAAGCAAGTTCATACATCAACTGATGCTTTTTGACGACGCTGTGAGGTCCAGGTTTAATTATGATGGAGGAAACATTGACTGTGGATGGAAAGGGCTACTCTGGGATGTTCTAGACACATGGTTCGATCGGTGGTCGCAAGTCGAGAAGGAGTTTGCTCTTGAGAGATACCGAGAGATTATCCAGTCTGAGGACAGTGGGCAAATCGACTACGACAGTGCCTCCTCGGGAAAGACCAAAACTACGCATGGTGCAACGAAAGTTGCAGACCTTCTCCAATCCGTCACCGAGCAGTATAACAAGTTGCGCAGGTTCTCCCATAAAGTGCGATTCTTAATAACCATACAAGCGGAGATCCTCGATCAATATCTGGGACGACTAGCTGATTCATTAGAACGTTACATGTCTGTAACTACAACTGTTGGTCGTACTCTGCATGGTGTTACGAGAGAGGAGCGTGCGAGACTTGAAGGCGTTGGTGGACTAGAAAGCCTATGCAGAGTTTATGGCAGCGCGGATCATATCATTGCAAAGCTGAAGGAAATGATTAATGATGAGGTAAAGTTTAGCTTCCCAAGTGATCCGAAATAGTTATTGACTGTTTCTTCAGTTCTTCGTAGACCTATGGGAGGTGCTGCAAGAGAGAGCCAAGGTCACTAGCACAACCGACAGGCTTGTTGGCTCGATGAGCTATAATGAAGTCAAAGACTGTACCTCTAATGCTGTCGGCTCAACGGAAGAAGGCTCCGTATTTGATGTTACTATAGCAGCCTACCAGCGCCTCGCAAGTCGGACAGAGGATCTCATCACTCAAGCGATGAAATATGCCCTACCAAACTCGTTCAAAGCTTATCTTACCAAACCAGAATGGACCACAATCGGCGAGGTATCAACATCTCGTAAGTGATCATAATAAACCCTTTAGGACACTTACTAACCACAGGCACAGCTTCAATAACCATAACAGCCGAGTTGGATCAACCACTCCAGGTAAGTTCGCTAGCATCAATCAACATCCATATACTGACTTTGCTTCAGACCCTAAAAGAAAATTCAATATTTCTCAGAGATACAATATCCTATGCAGCATATCGCCGCATCTGGCGCGAATGCTTCGACACACTGCAAGATCTCCTTTTCCAAGAAGTTCTCCTAAAGCAAAGCTTCACAACCCTCGGTGCTGCAAGGTTAATGGGAGACATTGACGCCATTCAAAGTGTAGTCGATTCTACTTCCAGAGGGGCCACGTCGGCTCTGAGTATGCCGAAGTTGAAGGATGGTGTTACATTACTGAACGTTCCGCTTGAAGCAGCCGAGGGGGGGATGTCTCTGAAGGAAGTCTATGAAAAAGTATGTTCGGGAGCACAGTACGATGAGGTTTTTGAGCAGTTGGGCCTTACGAGGTTGACCAGTCTGGAGGCGAGGAAGATTATGCAGAATCGGATTGAGGCAGTCGCATCCTCAGAACCAGGTTTTTAGTGTCCCAGCCTATGGGACTCTAAAAATCTACAATAATGAGCGTGGCTTTTATATCCACTAGCGATTATTCTATGAATCATGACCTGGGGAAGAGCGAGATGCAGAGTGGACAGCTTGGTTTGAAGTGCATGATTTTGCAGGCATATCTGTAACCAATACCCTTGAGAAACTATATAATTGGTGGAATTTTGTCGAATTCTCCTCAAATTTGGAGTCCTTTTGTTTCTCTGTGGACGATCCATCGTCCATTATCTCCTTCGGCCGTTCTTGCGAAGTACGATCTATATGTTGAATGTTCTCACAATCAGCAACCCCCTCATCCCTCACCACTAACTAATAGCCCTCATCGTCATCTCCACCACGGCAAACGTCCCCGCACTAACCGGCATAGCCCTCAAAAGCGTCGGCGCAATACCCTTCCAAAAGCCCCTAAGCCCCTCAGCCCTATAAGTCTGGCGAAAGCAATCCCTCATGCCCTTGTACCTCATGCCCGCCCCAAAGCCATCACTCTGCATCTTGCTCTTGACCACATCAAACGGATAGCTGCCCAACCACAACGCCTCGCCCGCCAGCCCGCCATAAAACGCAATCTTCCAGCTCGCAATCTCCTTGCGCTCAACCCGGTTCCGCGCCGCGTCCGCATTCATCATATACTCAAACGCCAGGAACCACATCCCGTACGCCTGCGCTTCCCTCAGCACAGTCACCGCCTCCCCGCGATACAGGCCCCGCAACACACCCTCATGCGCACTCAGCTTCCTCACGCAGTCCAGCGGCCCGCTATACAGCCGGCCCGCACCGTGCGGTTGCGTCTGCAGCCTGATACGCACATGTTCGATAGGGCCTGAGATGACCGAGTTGGCAACTCCGGCAAACGCGCCCGCGGCGTAGTACTGGCCGTAGGAGAGACCTGCGTCTAGGGG